TACTTGAGTACACATCCCGGGACTCCATCTGGACCTGGCGAATACCTAGACTTGATTGATCGCCAAGAAATGACTTTTCAGTGATCACTGGACTAAAAATGCAATTAGATCTTTGAGCAACCTAAGAATTGGGTAGATTGGGTGAAAAGTTAGTAGAGGAATATGTAGATTGTAAATATTCAGCAAACAAATCGGCTGCATCCTGATCATTTTTTACTTTCGTATCTTCATGAAAAACGGAGTTTGTTAACGACGATTTGCATTTCATATTCACGAAGTCACAGAACTGCCTGGGATCCTTTGCAAATTGCAGCCTACATCGAAGAAGGTTATTATTATAACAACCCGAGATATGAGTAACAAAAGTTGCTTTAGCAACCAAATATCGACAGTAATCAAAAGTATTACTTGATTTCTTAAATTTCTTATAATATCTGCACTTCACATTTTTCAACCTAATTCCCGCGAAAACCAAGGAGGCCTATTAACCTTCACAGCATCGAAATGTGAGTTTATGGTGGTATAAAATATTGATTTGACATATTGGTGCATGAATTTTATTCTGATCAATCGGTGTCTAATAATAATTATTTAAGTTTCAAAAAATCTGCTTTACGGAAGCAACGATTCTTACGAGTAAAATCCGTTGCCAGAAAAGGCACAAGTGTTACCAGCTCTATAATCAAATCGAGCGTAGGATGATAAGGATATTCAAGATAAACAAATGGATCACAGTGAGAGATAATACTACAAGTAGGATATGATTCCAAATTTAAATTAAGTCAACGGTCGTTACAGTTTCGAATAGGGTTAACTCGATACAGTGACAAGTCATGAAGCTCATCAATAAATTAATTTGAGCTGAGTGGCACCAATACATTTGGTGGAGCGGACCATATAATATCAGGAAGATTTAAGCCACCACATACATTCAAATAGTCTCTATTAGAAAGCGTAGAGGAAATATATTAAATAACTGATAGATGATTTAGATATATAGAGGTATCTAATTGAGGTGGAATGTAAGAACACACAATAAGTAATAGAAAAGTATTAAGTACGATTATAGTACTTATAAATTCAATATCTGGACAGAATGGAGATAAGAAATAATCTGACCCAAGATCAGAATCACCAGCATTATCTTAGAAAATTTTGAATGATCGAAAATATCAGGTTTTAACGAATTTTCGGTAAATACTATACTATCAAATTCAAAAGAAAGACTGTCAACATATCGTTTAGAAAGTTTAGTCTTAAAACTTCTAACATTCTGATAAGCTAGAAAAAGAAAGGATTTTAGTTTTTTGGTACAACATTAGAAGAAAAAGCACCAGAAGGATCTAGAGGCAGTATAATAGGAGGCCGAATACATTTTTATTTCTATGCTCCTTTATTACTAAGACATTCGCAGAGATTAGCACAACAAATTATGCCGGAACACTGATTTTAAAACAGGAGATTTTTCTTTCATAATTAAATTTAAATTTTGTTAACTGCCAGTAGATGTTACTTTAGCTGGTATGTATGCTTTAATATCTTCTACTGATATATCAGGGGCAAGACGCGAACTTAAAATCTACTTTCTAGGTGCAACGCCTATAGAGGGTTGGGAGCCCTGCTAGAAAGAACTGGAGAACTTGAATCGGAATGGGACACATAAGAGCCACCACAATTTATTGCAGGTGGTGCAGGAGAAATAAACTGCATGAACTGCTGATCATTATCAATAGTAGGCGTTAGTGGTGTAGGGGCAATGACCGCACCGGAGCCAATAAAGTTGGTTCCCGACGTAAAGCAGCCTCTGTTGATCGCTTCTGCTTAAGAGGCTCATTTAATAGTTTTACACTATTAAATAGATTATCCAATGAAATCGACCTTTGGGTCAGCCTGGTATTTGCTGTTTTTTAAGTCTCAAGCAGACATGTTTAATTAAAAATTAATATGCTCGAAAAGATGATAACTATAGAAAGATTTGGCACTGTACAGAGAAAATAACAAGAACTAAAAGTACACACCAAATTGAATAGGAAACAACCACACCAAGCTTTAGCGCTGCAAGAATAAACTACGAAAATAGACAAAACTTTTAACAGCTAAAACAACAAGCCCACGAAAATCGGGAGAGCGAGAGTAACGAAACACAAAAACATCTATAACAACAACAATACACAGCGATCGAGCGTGTAACGTATGTAAGCAAATAGCTTTGTCTAGTACAACGCTCAACGAAACCGTGAGAGCGAGAGCAAAAAGCGCACACATAAACCAAAACACAACGCAGCTGTTAATCGCGCACTGTATATATACAAATGTATATACAAAGATTTTTATGCTAATCAGAAAAATTACTGACAGAAAACCCAAATCACCAAAGCATTCAAATTCAAAAAACGCAGGCAAATTAACAAGAACACAAGCACAGGCAAAACAAGAGAGGTACTACTAAATACACGATAAGATTAATTAATATCACCATCTGAACACATCACAGCAAAAGCACAACCGATCACAGCAAATGCTAAGACGGATATTAATATTCCAAAATAAAAAATTAAATGTGCATAAAATGATTTAATTTTTAGATGCATGAATAATTTAATCTTTTTTAATAAATACTACCAATAAGCAGAGTAAAGAAAATATATTGGAAAAACATACAAACTTAGAATAGTATTTGATGCAGCACGAAAGAAAATGGAGAATGTTCGAATGTAAATTTAACAAAGGAGACGAAGCAGTCGGGCGTAACCAACAGCGAAATACTCTCTAATACAATTTGATAACATGTGAGTGTAGCCCAGAAATACCGATCTTTGAAGGAGGAACTTGGAAAAGTTTGGCTTTAAACTTGAGATAGATCTTGGCCGAGCGTAGTCTGAAATTGTATATGTCGACCTTTTAAAGGAAGTTATCAGCAAGTTACCTTTCACGTTTAGTCACTTTGTCTTTAAAATTGTGGGAGATATGCGGTCAGAGACTATAGGTAGAGACTTCAAATTTAAAATATAGGTTCTCGTATACCAGGCGCAGATCAAGTTTGCTTTATGTTATCGATAACTGCCTCCGTTTCTTGAATATTGATACATTTCGATTTCCGATAGCATCAAATGATACAATTTTAAGGGCAGAACCTTCTAATTAATACATAATATGCATATGCATATGCATATTATTGATCAACTCAACAAGCAAATTTGGTTGTTGTTACGTTTGCGTGTACGTATATAGGTATGCATGCATCAATATTCATGTGTTTGTCGGCAGAGCGCACTTGCAGACCTGCTCACAAAGCATTTAAAATGGAAATTTTCCAATAAAACTAGAATAAATTTGAAAAATGTGTTCAGGGTATATCGTAGCGAACTCACTCGACTACAGAACTCTTATTTGTTTTTTTACTCTTCAGTGCCTGTGCTTGCTAAAAGAAAAGGCTGCACTTGCAGCCTGCTCACATTTCGGTGCAAACTTTTTATAGGGAAATTGTCTAATAATTTTAAAACATATTTAAAAGCTGCGTTCAGGGTATATCGTAGTCGAGCTTACTCGACTACAGAAATCTTACTTGTTTATTCACCTTTGTTGTGCAATGTTCGTCAAGCTATCTGTCCGTCCTTAGAGATAGAGACTTAAAACTTGGTACATTTACGGATATGTCCCGCGTCAGACAATTCGATCACCATGATTCTAGGAAATCTATCAAATTCGATAAGACCACATATCTCCCACAAGTTTAAGACTAAAGTCACCAATTTTGGTTGCTAAGTTGTTGGTCATGCAATTCGGTCGTAATGAGCGAAGTTCCCGGGATAAAGATCAAAAAGATAAAGTCTGCGCGATACGACAAGGACAAAGTGAGTTTTAGCGGGCACAGACCAGTATATGTTCCAAGTTTCTAAGGGTTTCGAAAGAGTTACGTTCGTAGGCACATAAGGACAGACGCACAGACAGCATACATAGACAAAAATAAAACAACAACAAAATTTATGGAATCAATTGAATTATTAAAATTATTAATGTTAATTTTTTTAAATCTAAATACCTTTCGAAATTTGTGATAGGTTTTAAGCTGCCAATTTATATTTAATTTATATTAAATATATTAACTTTAGTAAACAAACATGAAGGATCCGAGAAAATAAAATTGAAAATTTATAGCGTTTAAAAAAATTGGAATAATTATAGTGGATTATAGGAATTTCTCATATCTCGCATTCAGAGACTCATGGTTGGGTGGGTATAGAGGAAAAGGATCGATCACCAGCTCAGGTCCCGGTAAATTTAGTAGACAGTCACGTAGAAATCAGAAACTTCCCCTTTAATAGTAGTAACTACTTTCGATATTATTATTTGTGCCTTTCGAAGTTTAGCACTTCCTATTTGGTTCAACAGGGATTCTAAAATAGTTAAATGAAATTCTATAATAAATAAAAAACTAATTATGTAATAGAGTCATAGGACACGGCAACCCCACCCCATTCTCCCGAAAGATCTAGGGAATCAACGGGTCCCAACCTCCGCTGTTATCCAGTGGCTCTCTTGTATGTTGTATTTTCACAAAGATCATATTTTAAGGTATACCCTACAGTAGACAGTTTGTTCCATTACAAGCGCCACTAGTCGAGTCGCTATAGCCATGTCAGTCTATGTTCTTTTTTGTGTATAAAAAGATTCCTCAACCTTAAGGTTAAAACTTACACACATATACAGACATATACACACATAAACACATATCCATTTTTTCCGCAGGCAGTAGTCGGATCGGACACAATATTATGTAATTGCCATAGAAACCATCGAAATAAAAGTTTATTTTGTTCACCAGTCGTGAAACAGAAAACAGAAACTGTATGAAAAACGATGAGACGACGTTCAATTTTCAACTGTGTGCTCTGATGAGCAGGCCTAATTTTTTTTTAAATTTATTTAATTTTATTGTAAATTGTTAAACCTAAATACGCATAGTTTTTATCTAATGCAGCTTCTTGTAAAGCTACCTCGTTGTATTCCAGGCTCTTGACTAAAATTTAGTTAATCTGGGGAGTCCCCAACTTTGTACCAAAAACAAGCTAAATTAAATAGACGTATGTATATTATATGTACTTATATAATTCAATAGGCTCTATGATTAAATTTATTGATTGTCTTGATTGCGGACAGGCGTCGGCCCCAGGAGTTGTTCAGCAGACAGAAGTCCCAGCTAATCATGTCTGTATCCATCAGCGAGCATTGCATCTTCTGCCATTAAGATGAAATGGGGTTGCATCGACGATGACCGATATCGGACCGTACATCACGATGGCATAAGCCAAGGAGTTTTCATTTCAACATGTGCGAGTTGGAAACAGCGTTGCCCAAGGCGTGCATCATACGATTCCTCTGGTTCTTGACAGGCGAAACGACACCCTTCGCATGCCAGTCAATCTCGGCCGGAATTCCAAGAATATGCTGCGAAGGCTCAATGACTTCACTGTATGTTGAAGTTGATTAGCATAATTGCTTGGAATCCGTTTAGCAGCAGGTCAGTGAATTGATTCACTGCCACCTCGAGGGCCTCCTCGGCAGCAGCGTAGGCTGCATTGTGCTAGTGTTGCTCTTGAATATCTGCTTACGTAGCTGATCCTCGCTGCTATCTGCGTAACCCTTCTCGAACTCAACCTTGAAGGAATCGAACTCTGCATCAAGCACATCCTGGTAGCTGATGGCTACCATGCAACCAACGATGGAAACCAGCACGGAAATTGCAATTACCACTTTCATGTTCAACGTTGATCCGTTTGATTTATATGATTTGGATTTGTCCTGCAAAAATTTAAAAGTGCAAATGAGGCATATGTTACGTTCACCTCCGCCCACAAATGCCGCCGCCACTAAAAATTTGAAATGGATATATCATCTGCAGCTCTTAAGTTAGTGCCTGCACCCATAAACGCCAAAGTCGATATTTTTTGAAAGTGTAAGTCAATAAATCCACACATCTCCCACAATTTGAAACTTGGAAGGTAACTTGCTGGAAACTCCAAATCGATATATGTACATGTTAAATCGATAAAACCATATATCTCACATAATTTTAAAGCTGAATTACCAAATTTGAAAGAAAATCCGAAAACAAATTTTGGATAACGTCCATTCCCGCCTTTAAAAACGATAAAAGCCCACAATTTAAGAGATTTACCAAATTCTATAATTATTTTTTTCATCCTTGTTCTGTGGCACCTGTTATTAAATGATATGACTTATTGGTATCACAGTATTTCGTAGTCGATTACGCCCAACTACGACGTTCTCTCTCGTTATAATTATGAAGTATATGATATTGTGTCTGCATGCGTTGTCATATGCTCTTAGACAGTCACACACCGACTTGATCTTTGGACGCACCGAACTTACTCGCCCGAGCTGGATAACCAAAATTAATATAGGCACGTCAACAATAAAAGTCATATTTACTCAAAGCGATATACTTGATGGTGTACATTGATACAACCATATGTTCCGCGCAACTCGAAAGCTAAAGTCATCAAATTTGAAATTGTAGCTACACTAGTATAACCGGTATATAGGCGTTACCAACTGCGAAATACTCTGATACCAAAAATTAATATCATCTGTGTCTTTATCTAATTGTAATTATCGATTTTTTCCCAGCTTCAAGGCTCCAGCTTTAAGGGTGTCGAAAAAAGCTGTCATCATACGGACGGACAGTCGGACATTGCACAAAACCAGAGTATAGTGGTGGCTTCGGTATCAAAGCATAACAACTACTACACAATGTATATTTTTAACAACTCATAAAGCGAGCATATATTTCTTCAATTAGAGATTGAGCTACCAAATTTTTAAAACACTTTAATGATTATTCAATAATCGAAGCACATTCATCTACGCCCGCCCCTCTCCAGTGCCTATAAAAACTTCTTCTACTTGTGATCAGTTGGTATAACACAGGTATCAAAGACTATACCGCTCTCTATTGTATAATTGAATCAATTGAAACTTCTTATTTACTTATTTATAATCTACATAGTGTATTTTACTAAGGTCATAAATATCCTATCTGGAAGTTGGTTTGCAATTGATTGTTGATATCGAAGCACTGCAGAATACACCACACTCTCGCGAATCGATCAAATGAAATAAACTTGGTCGCGGAGTATGCAAGAATTTAAATTGCATATAAACAAGGATCTTGGAGATCCTCATTTTCATACAGACAAAAATGGATTTATCGAGTCAGATGTTGATCCTGGTAAAGAATATATGTACATTATAATGTCGGAGGTGCTTCCTCCTGCCTGTCACTTAATTTTGCTCAAAACTTTTAACCTATTTTTAATGCATTCAGGGTATAACAAATAAAGACAATTTTTTGTAAATGTAGCTTGATAATTGAAAACGTATAAGTGAAGTATTTATATTCGTCGACTCTAATAAATATTATAATCTACCTTTCAAATTTGGTAAGTCTATCTAGCTCTAGTTCTGCTTGTGAAAAATATAATTAAAATAAAATTAATATAATATCACAATCTAATTTCCAAGTTTAATGATTCTAGCTTTAAAATTCTAGGAAATATGTATGTGGTTCGTACCATTTAAACGTATCTATGTTATCGATTTCCCAACCGAGGAACTTTTGCAGATGGTGGTTGCTGTAGCGTAACTTCGTGAAACCCTTGAGTTAGCCGTGCCAAGAGGTTTAGCGGGGGGAACTTTCGTATGACAATAACATTTCGCTGCTCTGTTCACCTTTTTTAGTGATTTTACGTTTTGGAAAATTATGAACAAGGTACTATTAAGTTAGCTGTCATATTTACAATTAGTCGAAAGATTAGTTGTTGTTAAATAAACTTTTATATTAGTATATATATATGTAGTAAACACATATGTTTATTATGGGTATAATCATTTTGTAAATTGCCATGCTTGGCAAGGAATGTAAATATATCGTTCTTTCCTAAATTCTTAATTTAAACTAATCACTAATTTTTCTTATATTTGTTCCTTTGCAATGTGGTCTTGGTGCAAATTACGTCATTTTGCGCCACATGTCAATGTAACACAAAAACCAAATATTGGGGATGTAGCTTGTGAATCAATCAGCTGTTTCCAATACGCAGAGAGCGAAGGTAAGAGAGAAATTAAAGAGAATGCATACATTTAAATGCAATCAAGTGGCAAGCTTTTCATACAAAGCTAACCGGAGGACTTGCTCAGAGCTTTAGTACGAAAAAAGTTATAAAAAGCATATCCGAAAAGCATGGGCGCAACAAAATCAGCAGTCTCCGGTTCTCTCTTGTATTTGTGAACCGAAAGAAAACTGTGCCACCTACATGAGAAACTTGGACATCAACGCTCAGTTCGGGTCGTGTTTGCAATACAACAGCACTGCGAAAACGGATAAAAAGTTCACATTTTCATACCAGCGAAAAGGGCAAAGTATAGGCGGAGTAATTTCGACAATACCTCTCTCTACATGGAAAACGCTCTAAGAGAGTTTATTCTAAGGAAAACAACAAAATACAACACGGTAGTCAAAGAACAACAATATATTTCATACACATTACTGAGCCTTAAAAAAAAGTTATTGACAAAAAAAATATAAAAAGCATACTTTCTTTCCTATTTGTGTTTGTATTTATAACTTTCTCTTTTTAACTTAGGTTAGTTAATTTATTGTTGCGTTCGGGTACTTTGTGAGTGTTCGTACATTAAGTGAGTTATGTAAAGCGTGTTTTGGTGTGGTGCACTGGGTGAGAATCTGAAGTAACGAAAACATCTACAATGATGTGTGTGCACTAGGCAACAACACAAATGCGATAAAAATAATAGAAGTCAATTATTAACTATAATAAAATGTTTAAAGTGAAAATTTTAAAGTGAAATAATAAAAAAAGTTATTTCTATATTATAATACAGCAGATTATACGTAAAACAAACAAGCACTTAATAAATTGGATAATTAATTAAAAATATAAAACATAGTGCCAAGAATTTGCCTTTGTCTAGCATTTTATTACATTTTTAATGTCACAAATCAACAAAAATTATGCCAACTTTGACCTGAATTTTATATACATACATATGCTCCTGAAACTCTAAAATTTGGGAGTTAGTTTCAAGTATTTCATGACTGGGAAAATATTTTGGTTCTTCTATCAATGTCAGAAATATTTACTTACCGTTCAAATTTCTATTAAACAAATGTTTATAAAAACGGAAACAAACAACCCTCGTGCGAATCAATTGCACTATTTTTATTTATAGTGCACATTTCTTTCAATATTAGTGTCAAGGTGCAGTCTATGCACAGAAAAATAGAGACCTAGCAAAGACGAACAACAACTATAACGACGCAAATACAACAACGATATTTGCAGCAAAAACAAATTGCAAAGATTTTGGTCGCCACCAAAGCGAGACAAAGTTTTCAGGCGAATGTTGCGAACTCAACGACAAAAGCAAAACCAAATACTTAATACGAGGCGAACCAAACGGCATCAGTCAAAACTAGTATCAATAAATAACAGCAAAAGGAACAAGTAAGACGACTCTAGTTGAGAGAGCCAGAGTAGAAATATTCCTGTCACAACCTCCGAATAAGTATTATGTACATTTGTACTAATTTGCTGGCTCTTTACATCTCCCATATACATTTACATAACTTTATTATATCCAATTTACTCAGGATATAGGGTATAAAAAGATAAAAATACAAAAGACGGCGTGTACAAGTGTCGTCTTTGTGTTATTATTAATATACATATGCTAATTAATTCATATTTCCATGTCTGTCCATTTTTGTTCTCTGGAAATATCAAAATAATTTGATATTAAGACAGAAAACACATCATTTTCGCTGGAAATTCCAAAATTATTTGGTTTTAATACAAAAAACACATCATTAGCTTTCTAAATCTTAATTCTAAATTTGTAGATACTGATTTGATGACTAGAGAAACCCTGAATCTTAAAAGTATCTCTGTCTAGCTTTCAAATTAAACTAAGTTTATAAATAAATGAATTATTTTCATCAATATTACTTTAAGATATTTAGCACAATGAGCTAAGTATGCTTCAAGTGGGTCGGTTGAGGGGAGGGGTAAGGGGCTATCCTCTCTTGCACCAACCACCACAACCGCCATAACCTATTTATTTCATATTTCTTATAGATAATTTGACCTTATACTAACTCATATGTAAAATACCCCTTCATATAACCTATTAGAGGGTATACACTAAAAAACAGCAACTAAGCGAGGGTATGCAAGGTCCAAGTCTCAACTTACTGACGACCCACTTTGCTTAAATTACGAGCTGCACGCAAAAGCACCGAACTGAAAACCACACACGTTGGTTTAGAGACCTAACCAAGCGTCAGTCAGTCAGTCAACTCATTCTCTCAGTATTTGTCTGATGGACAGCCTTATGAGTCAGCGCTATGTCGCACATTGCGTGCCGAGCTGGGTGGAGCCAACCCAGAAATAAATATAAAATGATGAGAACGGGGTGTTGAGAGTGCACGCGAGCGAGACGTGTTGCATATTTTCGGGCTTCTTGTTTGAAGGCAGACAAGAATGCGTTGCATTCCTATTTATCTACCATTAGTAAGAAAATGTCTCTAATAACAGTGTAACACCAGCTGAGAACTGATCGAAGAGTCTTCTTGCTGCAGTGGAAATGGAAAAAATATTGTCTACCTTTATAAATTTGGTTACTGGTCTGGGAGTTGTTTACTAATATTATACGTATGCAGGTTGCCAGTTATCCTCATCTTCTTGTTATGGAGTACAACAACGAAATAACGGTAATCTTATCCCTTACTCAGACACACAAGCATTAACAAAATTTGTTTTGAGCAGATAGTTAAACAACGCGAGAGCCAAAATGCGGTCAATTATGGTACGTCATAGTATGGGACAGTCGCCAAAAATGTACTCACAAATCACAATGTCCTATATAACACAGTTTCAGAATTAAAGCGACAAAATTTATGGGGTAGATTAAATAAATTGTTCTACACTATTACAGCTAGAGACTTGAAACTTGAAATACATATTCATCTGTACCCGGCTCAAACAAAGTGTTATAATTTCGCTTCAACGATAAATCAATAAAATCACATATTTCCAACAGTGTTAAAGCTTGAGTTACCAAAATTGAAACAATGGAAGCTTTTGGAGTCTTAGGCACCGCAATAAATCGATATATTCGAAAGTTTTTAAGCCAGAGTCACGATATCTTAAAAGTTTATTACCGGTAAAGATCGAATTTCAAGGTAGATTACTAGGGACATCCACCAAAGATTGCAAGGCAATTTCGTTGGTACACCCACCCCATCCACAACAGCCTGTATCTACCACAGTTTTAAAACTAGAGTGTGTCTTATCAACGGTTTAATTATAATTATACGACAACGCATATCCTTATGATTAGAGGAATTGAAGATGATAGTCGGAGCCTTGGTGATGAAAACTGCGGATCATTGTTATTCCTATCACTTAAATTATTGACTGCTTCAATTGTGGAAAGACTATTAGTACAGATAGCGGAAAGACCGTTTTTTTATGTTTTTGGTTTTTTGTTTAATATCCGTCATGCTGCCCGTCCGCGTGAGCCACCCTTCATTCATTACAGAAAAAAAAACATAGAGCACAACGTAAATAGTGACTCTTAGGAACGCAGATATCCTTTAGCAACAATCTTTTATTTTTAAAATTAAATACAGATTGTTACGAAAGTACTTACATCCAATCATTGGGTCAATACTTTTAACCTGTGGTCCCTTATTGCCTACTAGTTTTTAATTTAGTTTTCTCTTGATTCCTTAATTTTTTGTTCTGTAGACTTCAAGCCTATTGCAAATAAAGATTTTTATTATCTGAAACTGAAGGTATGAGAGTATTTTGGTTTTATACAATGTTGTCTGTCCGTCTTTATGCACTCAACATAAAGTTACAGACTTCAAACTTGGAATAATATTCGTCTATCCCTGTAACAGATAAAGGGTTTCAATTTTTGGAGAACTACATTACGGACGGAAAAACCAATCAAATCCGCTATTGCAAGCAATAAAAACCACAAGCTAGAGTCCCAAAACTAAGTTGGTGTCTTGTTGGCGGCATCATCATAAACTATCAGTCCTGACTACGCCTACCTCTGCTACCCTCAGACCACATCGGAAATGTCTTTATCTCCACTATTTGTGACCTAGACTCACCAAATTTGTAAGTAAATTACCAATAACCACTTTCATCAGTCAAAAAATATACATAACGATCAATTTAAAGCTAAAGTCACACAACTTGTAACGTAGATTGGCGACATCCTCCAAATATCAATATATGTCCAAACCACTACCACCTTGCATATGCAGATATCTTCAACAATAGTTAAGTTAGAAACCCGAAATGATCAAGATATATTCCCAGTATCTCGCTTTATAGATCAATAAAACCATAAACAACCTTCAAAATGTGGAAAAAAGTTTCCGGGCCAAGCTAACTTCCGCCCCTAAAATCCCAAAAGCCAAGATTACAAGGAATCTCGAATATTGGTAATATTTTCATGCCCATCCCGCCCTAAATATGGCTAGCGAATATATATAAACTGCCTCCCTCTATATCACCTACAGATAAAGGGTCTTTACCACCTGTTGTCAGCTACTTTGGTAAAATATTAGATTGTGCTCGAATACAACGTTTTAAATTTTTGTAGAGTTTAGTTTCAGTGTATTCTGTTTAGTTTAGTCGAGAGCGGAAAGGTCCATCTCCTACTTTTTTCCACTTTTTCAGATATTAAGTGTTTGCCTGATGACCTAACCTCTACGAGCATGGAACTTATTTGCAATGCAATCACCAAATTATGGAGAGGGACTATTAACAAAATCTGCTATTATATATTTAAATGAATGTGAAAAGCAAATTGATGTAATATTTATGAGGGGCAAGACTGTGTCGCGCTTCAATTTGTTAAAATATGTTTACTTTTACAATATTTGAAACCAGCGACTGCTCGACTTCGCGTTAGCTTTCAGTTTTTAATTTGAGAAACAAAAAGTGCTTCTCTACTCACAAATGCAAGCACGTTAATTTTCCAAACGTACTTGTCGAGTTAAGGATAAAAAAAAAACACAAGCAACACTGTTTTAAAAACAATAAGATTAAGATTAGGTGCATGATACAGCAATATAAACGGTCACGATATTAAAATATTACCTTATTTTACACATAGATTTCAAATTTGTATCCTTAAAAATATATGATTGGCGATTTAAATTTATATGATACAAGCGCAAAATAAAACCAAAAATGGAAAACTCAAACGTTGGAAATGACAAGTGAAGAAATTTGTTCGAACCTGGAACCAATGCTGACTAGCTCGTCTATGAGAAAGCGCTTGCCCCATCTAGTTTTGACAATTAATGCATTAAACAAATATATTTCTAATAGCAACTGTTGTTTTTGGTATATGGTAGCTATGGCTATAAAATTGTATGAAATGCAGATTTTCGAGTTTTTTTTTTTTTTGGAGGCGAGGAACGCCTTTTCTAAGAAATGTTAATATATATCTTTAGATGAGTTTCTGGTAATCTACGTTGAAAGTTTGGAAGGACTTTGGAATATATATATTTTTTTTGTGGGGGGTGAATATAGCTCAAAAACCTTGGAAGATATCTTCAATTAATTTTTTTTGGGACGAAGTAGCTGGAACGGAGGTGATGGCAAGGAATTTTATATGCGGATATTTGAAAGACGTTACCAGCTATTTACCATCTAACTTTAAAATTGTGGGAGAAATGTGATTTTACCGATTTGTAATTCTCGATCTTGTCGGTTTCTTAACTTCTCCGCAACCCACTTAAATTTCTACAACTTGTCTGACAGAGCACAGGGCGCAGAGTTTTGCTTTTTATATCTCGAATCTCAGGCAGGCCGAACAGGCTGATAAAATTGATAAAATTAATGATTATTACTTATTCGCAAATCAGCTATACAATTTGGAAAGTAAATTGCCGATAAGAAACCACTAAGAAACGATAAAAATGTTCACACCCACACCTGCTTCCTTAATCGAGCTTAGCTTGCTGGTAACTTTCTTCAAATATCAGCATATTCATTTTTAGAACACGCACGCACCTGTCGCCTTAGGAGGTCAGTCCCAAATAATCTGAAACGAGCATAACTTCCACAATTGAAAGCTAGAAAGAAAGCTATTTTTAATGCTACCGGTAACTCTCTTCAAAAATCGATGAAATAATTTTGGATGGGCACGCCCACTCCACCTCCCAAGACCGATATACCTGATGTTGGAATTTAATGAGGCCAAATATATCACACAATTTTAATGCTATGTGAACGAATAAGTTATGGCAATGTCTTCCGCAATGACATGAGCGTCATCTCCTTATAAAGTCCAGTACTTTAATTTCGCTCACGTTCCATAAAAGTGGCGACAGGACGTGTCTCAACTGATGTGCCTGGTGATAATCAATCGATTAGCCTGTTGGTATTTAGATTTGAACGATATTGGTAGTCAAAAGGAATAATTGTTCTACAGGAGACCAAGGAGCCATTATATTGTCCTTAAACCAAAAGACGAAGAACTTATGAGTCTAAAATACTTTAAGGTGGTATGTGAAGTCGTTTCTGAAGAACATTTTAGTGTTTAGTTAGGTTGCCACTGAAGCAGCTTATGGCTTGGTTGCAGAAATGCAGGAGTTGATCCAGAAAGATTCCCTCTATTTCTGGGAAGTTTAAGTTTTTAAACTTCTAATAGCCCATTTTAATACCGTAAGCCATTGAAATGGGTAAAAAGGGTATATTGCTTATATGCACAACTGACTTTTTTAAATCGGATTAAAAACACTCAAGTTATAGTCAAAATCGTATTCTTATATTGACCGCACCACTATCAGCAGGCGCAAGCTTTTTCTATATGCATAAACATGCGGACGCATATGTGAGAAGGGGATGGCATGATAATCGACGCAAATATAATTAAGATTGTGTGTGTATTCTACGTTATCTTCGATTGCGTGTACGTATGTCTGAATGTAAATACACGCGTTTGTCGCACATCATTGATTTCAGTTTTATTTACTCTTCAATAGCTGTGCCGGCATTAAGAAGCAATAAAACTAATAATTATTTAATAGCTCGGTTCAGAGTATATCTTAGTCGAGCTCAAGCGAGTACAGCATTCTTATTTGTTTTAAATTACTATCGGTAAGCAAATGTGATGTGGGGACACCTCTCATGCTGAGAGGCGACGAGATGATGCCGGTCCCGATCAGTCTGGTAAGTGTGCACTTAGTAGAAGTCTGAAAGATGCTTCGCTGAACGTTTGTTTGATTGGGCTCCTTTAAATAGCCGTAGTCTTAGAAATTTATTTTCTTCCAGGAACGATGCCTCTGCAGAGCTTGCGATATTAGCGCAATAAGAGTGGCACGAGACTCAGCGCAGCACCTTATTGTACCTTGCACCTTGTGATAACATTGTAGTTTTGTATGTATATGTGCAATCCAAGCTTTTTGCTTTATTCAGCAGAGTTCTGGTATTTTTTTTAATCTTCACAAGTTCTTGAGTAATTCGAATTGATATATAATATACATTGAAATATTATTGATCAACAGAACGGGCTTGTTAAAAAATTAGTTTGCTGCCTTAGATTTTTTCATCAGTGGCTGTGCCTGCTATAAGAAATGAGAGCACTTGCAGTCCAGCTTACATTTGAGTGGGCAAAAGGAAAATTAATTAATTATAAAGGGAAATTTGCCAATAAAACTATAATAAATTATCAGCTGGGTTTAGTCGTAGTGGTCGTAGTCGAGCGCTCTCCTTACTCATTTCTTCGTACGGGGGACTCTGGTAGAATAAATATCATGTCTTCAATGAATTTATTCCAGTTAATTCTACGCGTGTTCCTTCACTTAACCGGGCCTGTTTTTGAAGAAATGTTTTTTTAATACTCGCCAAGACCCGATTCTGTTTTGTAACTAACATGAGGTCAAGCACCACCTTGTAATTTTTAATAAGGAATCTCGGTCAACTGCTTTTATGACAGATATCAGCTGAAACTGATAGGTTTTCGAGTCACATCATGACCCATGTAAGCTGGTCCTCGCCTAAAAGAGCCATTTTTGCACTCCAAGCTAATCGCTATGCCGTCTTCATTGATGAAAATGGTAAAACGGATAAGATTTAGATGTTTACGTGCGGCGATGAAGGTCTGCCGTTTACTTGTTATTTCAGGCGCATATAACCTATAAAGAAGTATTCCATTTCCAGATAACCTGTTTTCGCAGCACCTATCCCGGTCTCTTTTCTTGGAGACGTATAGCTCCAAATTATTATTATTTTTCATTGCGTGCTTGGAGCATACCGAGAATAAGCTTCTCCACCGGCTTCATATTAAGTTGTGCTCGAGGAATTTTATCCCATAATTTTGTACAAATCCGCATTTCGTGCATCCTATCAAAAGATAGTTTTAACACTTTACTGGTTCCAGCGTGTAAAAGTCTTTTTACCATAAGTTTTTTAATGTCAATATTAAGCAGTATTAATGGTTATTGTTGCTGCACCTCGCGATCTGACTATTGGGGTTAAATATATAAACTGTAAATAACATATGCCCACCATTATCTTATCTACAGCAAAGGTAACGATGGCACTTGTAAGGCGACAGCGTAGATACTTACTTTAAGGGTTTTTACATTTAGAGTGACCCAGTCCAGACTCAAGTACCAAGACTTGAATATTTACAATTCCTCATGAGCCCGCTTCGCATAAGTCCACTGTAACGGTAACGGACGGTATCTAGAGCGTTTCATGTTTATAGTGCAAACTATCATACTACGCATACATGAGTTCCATCAACTAGATCATTCTTAGCTAATTTGCTTTTTCTACTGGAGAACTGGGAATTCATATAGGAAAACATTTTTCATAAAGCTTTGCTGATATATATACACAGCTAAATAAATGTTTCACTTGTTTTTGACTTTACTATTATAATTTTCATTACCATTTGAAGTGAATGTGTTAAACATGAAAAGTCGCTAACAGTTTTAAGTATACAAATGACAGGTGCTTCAATTAAAGCAAATTGGTTTTGATTACTGTTATTTTTCAACAAGTCTTCGTTGTCTATGGCACTTTAAGCTCAGGTGGCTTAAACTTAAACAGCTTAACGTGTCTGGCTAGTTTTCCTATTACCGAAAGTGCAGTTTACTGTTTATTCTGCATGTAATTTAAATAGACTTGCACTTGTATTTTATGGACTTAGTTGCGCTGTTGCGATATTTAATTAATCTTTGGCTTTAAACTGCAGCCGAGTGAGCGCGAAGTGGAACATGCACGTTGTAATATGTGAAGTTTAAAGTGAAAAGCTAATTTTTTACTTTTGATTAATACCAGCTGATTGACTATTACCGCTTATTTAAAATTAAAACAAGTGTGTCGTGCTTAATATTCGGATTCTAATGGAAGCAAAAATACTCATGTGGCTGAGAATTTTTTATATCGATCTGTACAGGTAATCTAGCCATCATATTTGCAGAATCTAATTTTAAGATTCTGGAAGATGTGTTTTTTTTTTAAGTTTTAAATTATTTATATTATCGATTTCCTGTCTTGAGTCATTTTTAGCAATAAAGTTCCTCTCTGCAATGTTATTGTTGTTTTGTCATAAAATAGTTTCAATGCAAGGGGAGCCACTGCCCCTGTTACATATCGTAAAAATATGAAAAACTTACAGTTCTTGTTCAATTTTACATTTCATAAAGTTGCATCAGATTATTTATCCGAATGCATTAATTATATGTGATAATTCTAAATATTTTTAAAAGTTTAAGAGGTCTAGTTCTAGTATTGACTTGTCTATATATTCTATAATCAAGTCAAACTCTTCTCTTCTACACTCTGAATGCTATGAGAATTATCTTTGTTGTTACAAATGACATTTACCTGCGATGTTGTCACAGCGAACTCAAGTGAAATTATGACCTGCTGTCACTGCTCGACACACTGACTCCTGACAAAATTTTCGACCCAGCCTGGGTCGCCTGGGCCCAGAGGCTCAGAAAAAACCTGATGCACGTTTTACTCAGGTCGAATACCTCGAAATCAGTTCACGATATTTCCGGTGTACCATTGATCCTTTCTTCTTGCCAATTTTAATAATGACATCCAGTCAATCTTATTATATTCACGTATTCATATGTACTAAGACACGTCGACTTAGCTATAATTTTCTGTCCGTCTTTCAAGTTCATTTCCTTTTATCGATACCTTTCCCAACGTATTTTTATATTAAACAAACTAATATCAGCATGTACATTGAACAAATAATTATCAGCTAACCTACATGTATTTAAAAAGTGGGTTCAGGGTATATATTTATCGGGCTGTCTTGACTAGATCATTCTAACTTATTTCTCATAAAATAGTATTAAACATACTACATTTGCCATAGTGAAATTAGACATTAAGTTACATCGGTAAAATATTTTTCAGTTTTTGTTTAATTCCTTTTGCAAACATATATATACATATATTTGTGGCATACATTTCACTTTACTTGCAGTATTCGTAACATGGGCTGCGTCTTTGAAGCATCCAGAGAGCAGCCCAATCAGTGCATAAAACAACAAACGCAAAATCAGTGCTCTCTCATCACAACATCAAAAACAGTAAAAGACAACAGGGTAGAGGAAATAAAAGTCGAGGATAACTACCAACAAAATCATAAACCTCAAACAGCAACAGCAACCCGCAAAAATATAAAAGCGACAACTCAAGTGCTTTTTGTGGTACCACAGCAACAACAGTTAAGTCAAGAAGTATATGACAACAAAGATGCCTTGGCTGCTCACAATATTTGGCCATCGACGAAGCCAAACGCTTTGCATATAAATTGCTGGAATTGCAATAGCCGCAACCTAAAGATTAACAAAGATGAGCAGCAGTGCCGTCGACAGCACTTATGTCAGTTTCGCACTACCAGATTCAGCAGCAGAAACCACTACATTGCTACATGGACGTCTCTGGCTGGCATATCCTGTCTACGCCTACACAAAATGCTGTTGGAAGCGCGAGATGCCCTAGCGACGCCACTAGACGAACCATCCGAAGAGCAGCGGAAACTGGAGGAGGATAAAGATGAGGATAAGCCATTTGAAGATCTGCACTGGCATCGGCACAATGTTACCAGCACTTTTGTACCCGCCACAATGTCAGCAGCTATTTTATCCAGTCTGACCGCCACCTTAGCTATTGCATGTCAGTATTTGGCTCAGCATTATAAGGCGCATAGTCAGTCTTTCAGCTTCTATGCTGCCTCTAGTATAATCCTGATGTTATGCTATCTGACCACTACATCCACTGCCGCTGCCACGCAGTCGGAGACGGCTGCCCTAGACAAACATCCCATGTAAGTACAATTCGTATAGGTTCTACTACCACTCATTGTATTGTGTGTATTAAATCTGTAAATGTACCTAAAATTTGTTTACGTCTGTAACCAATTTCGTCGAAATTTATATTCTTTTAAAATTTTTACAGTCACGGTATCGATTGGTCGAAGTAAGTTTTTGCACCCACACCAAAACGTAAACAAATCATATCTAACGAATTTTGTGTTGGTTTTAATTTAGTTTTATTTTTCAAAGGGAAATGATTATATTGGTTTAGTGGTATGTCTTTCTGGCTGTCAGTCAGTTATCCAGTCCGTCTGTTTGTTTTAAAGCAAGAGACTCCGCATTTGGTAAATACATATATTGTTGCATATTCTGGGCTTAAAGTTTATTATATGTTTCACACCTAGGGCCACAAAACTTGTTTTTTTCACCGGAAAATCTGACCCAATGCAGATAACTTATCAGTTCCGCCCTCGGGCAGTTTTTTAAGCAGTTTTTAAAATGAGAGCAAAATATCGACTTGCCAAATGATTCCCACTGAAACGAAAATGCATAAGTTAATGTTAAGTAAAGTTATCCAACAGTAGACTGGCTGAAATTTGTCCAATCCCTTACATATATACATATATATCGTTCTACATCCTATACATCTTCCACAATTTTGAGCTATGGTCAACAAATTTGGAAGGTGGATTACTAGCAACCAGAATTTGAAAATTTATATCTGCCACAGAGTTGTATACAAACTTAAGCAAACAACTTCTGTGATCAAGAATATATACTCTATATGTAGATTTTTACTCCTTCTGCCGGTTTGCTCAATTTCGTTATACTTTTACCTATTTTCATTGGGTATAGTGAATCATTTTTTCCATTCACGTTACGTATACACTCTCAACAACACTGATAATGATTCATAATTGTGTTATAAGTGGCACATATTGCCTGCTTTATACATGTATAAAAAGTTATCATCAATTTTAGAAAGCGCTCCAGATAAAAAGGCACACTGCAAAACCTTTATAGTTATTCCCGAATAAACTTTCCAAAATGAGTTCTTACAATTTTGCTTGCTTTTCAGTTCTTTAATCTAAAGCTTATTGTGAAACCCAAAAATTGCAACCCAACAAATTGTTCTTCAATTTTAACACAGATATAAATTAGATCTGCCTTAACTGCTAATAATAACAGTACAATTTTGATCAAAACTCTTTACACACAGATTCGACGAATCCAGTTCAGATAAGGAGATTTTAGATTTATTACTTGAGAAGAAGCGCTATGATAAACGATTACTGCCACCTGTTAATGGTAAGGAAGATAACAGCTTTTCTTTAAATTGTCTCACCATATATAACAATACACAACACCAATAAAGACCATGCATTGCAGCAAGCTTTGGCTGTTATTACTCTACTTATAAATAATTAATTAATCCTGTACTTAAATAGCTAAAAATCTATTAATTGGACAACCCGAAAAGTTACTATAAGAACGGGAATTTGCTTCTGATTTAAGCAATTCATAAACGGATGTTTATTAGTAATAATGTAAAATGTTGTAGTTATTTTGGTTTTAGGCTTTTGTAAAGGCGAAAAGTGCGGGCCATTTGCTTGCGATAATAAAAAACTAGTGAGTAAGAGATGCAAGTCACGACTAAAAAAAAAAACAACTAATAATAAGTGCAGCCGTTTCAAACTAGCTGACATATAGCTACAATTGATTGCATCAAGCGCTATGCAGTAGCCGTAATGGAAATGATCAGCAAGCGTGGTATTATAACCTATAGCTAGAACTATAACCTACAAATTTTGTGACTAGCTTAAGACCTGTAAAATATATGAACATTCCCGATTTTTCAGTCTTTGAATAAGCCTATCTACCCTCCACATTTGCTTTATTGATTTTCACATATCAATTGTGGCGCATACTTCTCTCCTTCAAAACTTCTACCTTCGGAATTAAAGCATCTAAATTTCTAGGTCAGAGTAAGCAAGATTCGTCAGAGTAAACTGACTATAATTCACAGCACAGACAATGAGTTGCGACTGTACTTCTCCTTCTTATCTAGTTTAGCTAACTATTCAAAATCTTGATAAGATTATTATTCACTTGATCACACTAGAAAAAAAAAATGTTGAGTGTGTAATTATTTTAGCCTGTTTGTAAATTTTACAGATGAAGACTTTTGCTGTGGCTTACAATCGCCTGACATGGCCTCAAATCAAAATGCCAGGAGACCACATAATCGCGGTTGGTGAAATGTCCTAAACAAATCACAAGCACTAGTATATATTTTCTCTTCTTACACATTTTTTTTATATTAGCACTATTTTAATTATTTTTGAGTTCTTTTCTATAATATGCCTATTGAACTATGAGTTTCATATATTTCTATCTATAAGCAGAGACATTATACAGTTAAAATACTACCTATATTGAAACTATAAATCGATTTATAGGAACACTGACGGTTAATGTTAATGTGTTGCTTTTGAGCTTAGCATCACCCGATGAGAGCAGCTTGGTAAGAAGTTTACGAGAACTAATATTATTCATTATTAACGTATAATTTTATTGCAGAAATATGAAGTTGAATTTCTATTGAATCAGCAATGGAACGATCCTCGCCTTCAATATGGCAATAAGTCCCACTATGATTTCCTAAACGCTTTGCATCATCATGACAGTATCTGGACGCCCGACACTTACTTCATTATGCATGGCGATTTCAAGGATCCCATCATACCAATGCATTTCGCTCTAAGAATATTTCGCAACGGGACCATTACGTACGCAATGAGGTGTGTTTCTCACTAATTTGATTATACATTAATTATACATTGCACATATTTACTGTCCATTTTGTACTGTAGCAGCATACTCATGTTAACTGGTCTGTTAATCAGCTTTACTTATCCTATATATAAAAAATTTTTTTTTTCTTCTTTCCTGCGGAAATTTGCCATCTATTTTTTCCTGAGTGAATTTTTAGAAGTTAGCTACTTTCTCGTGAAAACTTAATTAACCAAAAGTTGCCTTTCTAATAGCTTGCTACACTTGTTTATGTTAAAGCATTACATTTAAATATAACTAATAGCTCCACCACTTTGTACTTATCATGCGATAATCAAACTGAATTCAGATTCCAATAAAATCAATTTATATGGACCGATAGCTTCAATGTATTTATCGAGAAATGCTTTGTGTCTATTTGGTCCTAGACCTTTATATCCTCCGTTTTAAGAGAAGATCATCTAAGTTCAGCCTTATGCCCTCTGATAAGTCAAATAGAAAGGTATGTCACAGACGCAGATTTCAGAGAACAACCAAATATATGAGAAACAGTCTCCTGCTTCTTTTTACGCGACAGCTTCCACAAGAAAATGCATTAACTGGGATAGGAAGTCTTGCGATGTGCAAGGCTACAAGCGAAAATAAAGTGACAGATCGGACACCTGCTTACGGACTATGTATTTTTTTATGCGTGTTTGGTGTTTGGTGACCTATCTTTCGTCTCTAGGTGAAAACGTGAACTTTAAGCTTGTATCTGCCAATGGAAAAATATATTGAATTAGATTATCCCGTAAAAATCATTTGTGAAAGCACCTTCTGTCCCGGAATTGTTCCATATTTTTAAGATAAAGTATCTGCGCACAGGAAAGGAAATATCTCGATTCATTTTATTATACCCTGTACTCAACACAAATTAAAAAAAAAAAATGAGAAAGACATATAAAACTGGTGTGTTCAAATTACCAAATTACCATGAATCCATTGAAATTAGTTTAAAGAAAAAATTAGTTGAAAAAAATTATAATGAAGTTATACCGAAGGAAAGAAGCATCTGCGTCTTGATAAAATATATATTTTTTTTTTCTCAGGACCAACGGCCGAGTTGATCAAACCATTTCCACCTGTGTGTCAGTCTGATTAAAGAAAATGTCCTCTGTATACTACGCGCATATCAAGTTCAGCAGCAGATTCAGCTGCTGCTTGTGACTGAAATATAATCTTATTAAGTTGGGCAAAGGGTATATATAAATGTGTTTGGTCATGATTTGTGTTTAAGCTGCTTTTGCATTATTTACAGTAGGTCTAATTGTGAACGCTAGTATCTTAAATTATCTACGATTTTGTTTATAATACCTGGCACACTTTTGCTGCTGTAAATCCGTCTTGACTCAATGTTCTAAAACTATATTTTCTTCGGAGAACTTGACTTAATATGGTCACAAAGGGTGCCGCATACGTGTTATCGCACATATTCTCAATGAGAGTTCTGTTAAACTATCATATCATTGCAAGATTAAACATCCTCTCCCGTAATGAAATGCTGCAACGTTTGATTGGATTCCTTGGGTTTAATCATTTTGTAGGTATATAAATCGCAGAGTAATCGGGCAATAATGTCCGTCAAATCAACATCGGTGGCAGAAAACGAGACACTTACACTTACCTTTGCCTCGGTCTGGTGGCGTTCAGTGTCGGCGGATGATGGCATATAACTCGAGCCTAAGGTGCATTTGCTTAATTTTATTAATTGACATTTATAAGGGCTCATGAATGTGCAATTGGGATCCTCGTTGAAATGGCATGCCTTACCACGCATAACAATTGTATTGTTTTCCTCTATGTCATTAATTTTCTTATTAGACGTCTTAAATTTGACCATTGGCTGGCTGGAATGTCATTTTCCAGCGTTCGCGCATCCATGGATATAAACAGCTTATAGTCCTTATAAGCCAAATTACGATGATAAGTAACAATCAGCAGCTATTTCATCTGCACAAGATCGTGATTAGGAGAAAGGCACTGTTACCGATATGTGGGAGTTCACGTCACTTGCCACCAACCTAAACAAGTTTAGTATCGAAAACTCCTCATCCAGTGCCGTTGATGACGTCGCCTCCACTAAAGACTCCTTGTGACTCCTGTCTGTTCCTGTTCGGTTGACATGCTTAATTTTTATTTATTTATTTCAATTCATATATTATATAAAATTTATATAAATAATATTATAAAATATTAATATGCGTTTATACATACACGTGAATATATATAATCATCCAATTTGCTTCTTATTTTACACTCTGCGATCCATGAAACTTATAAAATTAACATTTATTATATTTGAGGATGATGGAGGTTCTACTTTACATTACATTACACTTCTTCTCGAGACAAAGGGTCCGCTTCCACTTTCTTACCATTGTAAGATTAAACACTCGATTTAGCACGGTCTCGAAAAAAAAAACAACAAGCATTTATACATGTAAATAAGTCTATTTTGACGATATATATATGTATTTTAATTAATAATCAAGTAGATTTTTTCAAGAAAAACTACGACATTACAAAGCGTATATGTGCCATTAAATAAGATATACAACAATGAAAGGAGAGTTATAAGAGCATAGAGCAGCATTACATGAGAGTTTTAAGAGTTATATTAGAGAGCTTTCTAAGAGACTTCTAACAGTATTAATGCGAGTTCTAAAAGCAGAGAAAAGATAGAGTTATAAGTGCTTTATGAGTGGGTTACAAAGGCGTTATTACATAATAGCATTATAAGGGAGTTATAATAGCATTTTTGGGAAGGCTTAAGAGCTTTATAAAAAAGTTCCGAGAATATTTGAAACTTATGGCAAGCACATGCAAGCGCCTCTCAATACACAGCTACGAACTTTTTCAGCAAAATCACAATCTTGACAACAAAAAAATGTATGTGGATTTCGAACTGCTTATGCGGAGTGCTGTGTGTGTGTGTCCTAAAATGCACAACCAAATTAACACTCCTGCCACAGATATTTCAACCAATTAAACTAAACCAGTGGAAACATTTCAATTGGATGTAGTCGACTACAAAATAGTTTTATACCGGTGCAATATATTGATAAATAGATGCCAATCCTAAAGGGAGGCATGAATTTTTATGGGAATCTCACCATGCAACGGGCTTATTGGTTATTACTTTCTTTTAGCAACTCAACTCGTGTTGAAAATTAAAACTCTTTGTTGAAGAATATATTTATTCAATTCTATTCACAAGTTATAATCTCGAAGGGCTTTACAATCTCAGCTTAGGACTAATACTCTTAAGCAAGAGCTTTTTGTTATACTTATTGTATACCTATATTTAAAAGCACCAAACTACTCTCCAAATTGGGTGGCTATAATCTTCCAATTCCCGGAGATTCATTTTCACTTGGAGGCTTATCGATAGATAATCGATTTGACAGCTTCATTGGTATTGGATCTGTGAATGCGCTTTATATCTACCGAACCAACCAATTAGATTCCAGTGCCGCCTTGTATGGAGAGTCCCAAAAAAATTTCACTTCAAGTTAATTCATTTTATCCAATAAGAAATTTAGAAAATAAAAACTTCTTTTATTTTTTTTTTTATTTTTTTTTTTTATATATTTATTTATAATAATTTACTTTTTATTATATGTAAAGGCATTCGTTATGGGTTAATAAAAAAGTAATAAAAAAGGATATTCCAACTCCCGAATAAGTTCGCATATTGCTGGCTAGTAAAACAGTATTCTTCTTGGAGTTTTGTATAAGAGTGTTGTTCGTGTATGTGATATCACTAAGCAGACAATATTGTATTGTAATGGACGAGTAAAGCTAAGTTCTTTTAAAAATTATTTAATTATTATTAATTATTTCTTGGAATGGTTTTCTTGCTTCATTTTCTTTTTAAAGCACTGTTCAATTTTTAATTACAAAAAGTTTTAATAATGCAATGAATTAAAAGCGATCGCCAAGTTGATATAGCTCATCTATATATATAACATTTTTAAATAGATATAACATTTTTAAATAGAGCTACATACAAAAATATAGGTTACGACACTTATGTCAAATTGGATCAGCTTGCGGGGAAAAATGTATACAATGAAATATTAAATAATATATAATTATGCATTATAGTTGTGTGTATGTGACTGGTATGTATGTTTTCGCGAGGATTTTTATCTTTCTACAATTTTTGTAATTTTTATAATAATTTCACTAAAAAATGAACAAAATAATCAGGAAGAAAAGTTTCGCGAGTTGGAGATGTAGCGCAGCTTCTTATCATCGACGATTGACTGAAGCGGTAAGCGGCCAGAAGCTCTAGCTCCGCTTAAGAACTTTAAACGGCAAAGTCAATTCTTAACAAACGAGACTGCAGACTTGAATCCAATGACCATGAAGACCAATGAGCCTCCAAGCGAGCCATCCCCGAAAAATCCATCAAGAAAACGGATGCACCTTGTTTTTGGTGAAACGAATCAGTATCGGCTGGTGACCGGATACTCCTGGGTTGTAGTAGACTTGATGACGGGCGCTGTGGTAAACGTGATGGTGCTCGATATACATACATACAGTGTCTCACAGTTCTTCAGGGACAGTGTCTAGCAAAAAATTTAAAGTGCTATAAGGCTTAAACAAAAAACAAACGAAAAATATTTAAATGCCAATTTGTTTCCTGTTATATCGCGTTTGAAATGGAAACTTTAGTTTTTATTAAAATATTAATTAATTAACTAAAATTAGTCAAAAACTGAAAACATAGCCAAAATACATGTCAACGCTTTTTCGGGACAGTCTTAATAACTTCCCTTAACCTATTATTCATCGAAGATACCAGCTTCCGGGTAGTTTCTGGACTGATTTTGCTCCACTCATCCAGCAGATCATTTTTGAGATCGGATCTGTGATTCCGGAAGTTATTTTCCAGCAGAACCCACAAATTTTAAATAACATTTAAATTTGGAGACTGGGCCGGTGGAATTATCATGTGGGGACTTATGCTTTGTTGTTGTCCTGGTTGTGGTCCTGGTAGAACCGGAAAGTACGTCGGATTCCTAGCTTCTCGGCACTTTGGAGTAAATTTGCCTTTAATATATTGAGGTACACATTCTTGTCCATTGTTGTTTCAATAAACACCAAATTTACGACGACCTCCGAGATAGATGCCCATACCATGATACTTCCTCCGCCGTTCTTGACTGTTGCCTTTAGGATATTGGGATTCAGCTCAGTATTGGACTGTCGCAACACGTAATTCCGTCCATCTGAGCCAAAAATGTTGAATTTGGGATAATCTTCAAAAATGAATGTGTTCCAGAACTCCAAATCCTTGTCCAAGTGGGTTTTGATGAATGTCAATCTAGTTCCTTTATTTTTTGCGCTTATAAAGGGCTTCTTCCGTGGTACTTGGGCATTAAAGTCATGGTTGCGCAGAACCCGGCGCACAGTTGCCACACTGCACTTTTTCCCCATTTCATCCTCCACCTGTGGAGTCAGTTTTGGAGCCGATAGCTTGGGATTTTCCCTTATTTTCCTGATGATCCTCCGCTCTTCCTGTTCGGTGAAAATCGTGTTTGGTGCCATTCTGCCCTTGTTCTCTTTCCGAATTTCGTTCACGAAGCGACGAATGATGTTAAATACAGTTGATTTGCTTAGATTTACCATTTCTGCTATTTAGCGATGTGAATATCCGATCTTGAAGTGTTCCAGGATGAGATTCCGTTGTTCAATGGTGGTCCGTTTGTCCATAGTCCTTTTTGGCTGGTTGCACCCGAGATGCAAAATATAACTAAACTGAGTACGAAGGATTGGTCTATCTATACCGAAAATAATCAACATGACGTAAAAAATCCTGGTTTTATGGCACACAGGTGTCCATAACGCCCATGGTCCAAATAATATGTGACCATGAATTAAGGTACTTTTTTACATAACCCGGCCTAGCCAATTTATTGGGATCATATATTCATTATGGTGGTTAATATATGTACCCACCATCGGTCTTTGGAATTTTTGAAAAATATTGTATAATTAGTTTATGGCAGGCTATTAAAATTGTTGCTAGGCACTGTCCCTGATGAGCTGTGAGACACACTTTATAAATAGCAATAAAACAGCTACCTATCGTGAAGATTGTGCTGCTAACTTTTGTAGGTCAGCAAAGAGACTGATCATTACTGATGGCTGGTGAGGTCTTATAGTCGCAGATTATAATAAGAACAGCCTTGTTGGTCGGTATTGGAATATAGTTGAAATAATGTATTAGAGCATAATCGGTAATAAACGCATTCGAAGCTCCGCAATAAGAATTATTGCACTGCAAAAGCGACAATTTTGTTCACAAGCTGGTTTGATAAGAACTAATAAATCTCTTGCAATAACTACATAAACGCGACCAATACTTACAGATTCCGTTTCTTAATTATTATATTTCTCTTATTATTGTAGGCGTCACTTGATTCTGTCGTGCCAGGGAAGTCTTCACATATTTCCATTTGATGATCCAAAGTGCTCGTTCTCAATGGAAAGCAGTAAGTACACAATAGATCTTATCTATTTAAAATTGCTCGAGTCAAAAGTGTCAAAAGTCTGTTTACTTATAATCTGTTTAATTTTTACTTTAGTCTAACTTGACAGTATTAAGTTGTAAGGGGCAATAAGACAATTTGCTTCTTGCACACATGCAATTTATTTGATTAGTTTTTTACAATACCTTAATTACCAAGAAACAATACCTGTTTAAAGAATACTCTGTACCCGGCTGTAAAATATATTAAATAAATAAAAGTTCGACTTTTACTGGAAAAATATTTATTTTTTTCAAATTCTTTGTATACTTAATGTATATATACAAGCAGGTAAATGGAAGTGCTCTAATTATACCCTCAATCCATTGAAAAATGGTTAAAAAGAGTCTCTCTGGCCTCATAAAGCATATATAATCTTATATATTGCGCGCAGATAACAGCCTCTGGCTCAATAATATCGATACATTTCCATTTCCGATAGCTATTAAAGCCACAGTTTAAAAGGCAGCCTTTGATCACGATTGGGTAAGAAACACCAATGTAGTAGGCCCAAATCTATTTTCATACTTCTATCAGCAGACGCAAGCATTTTCTGTATACACAAGTTGGCTAGCGCATGTGTGAGAAAGAGAAGGCGGGGTAATCGACTCTAGCGTCAATATGTCTTTGTTTTTGTATTCTACAACGCCCATTAGCTGCTTATGAATATACCTGCCGGTACATACATACATGTATGTATTATGGGTTTGTGTTGTAGTTTTTTTTCTCTTCAGGTATAGGCACCTGTCATAAGAAATGAGTGCACTTGTAGTCCTTCTTAGTCCTGCTTTTTAAAGGGAAATTTACCAATAACACTTCAATATACCTAACAGCTGGGTTCAGGGTATATCGTAGTCTATCGATCTCTCGACTACAGCATTTTTACTTGTGTTCTTTATGAGGCAGGTACAGACTATCCCATTCACACCCAAAACCGAAGAAAAAACAAATACCTTAGGATTATCCAATATTAAATATCCCTTCGGACACATCTACTAACATAAAATTTAATTATAAAAAAAAATAAAAAAAAAAACTCCAACAACTCCTTTTCAATACCAATTTTATGATATATTAGTCCGATGGTGATAAATTGTTTGCCAAATGATCATTATATCTATCTTAACTAGTGAGCTTGGTTTGCATATCTAGGAAGTAGTAAGATAACTTATTCTTCTGCCGATTGTGCGACATATGTACAGCCTGCAGCAAGAATGGGGATAAGTTTCAAGGTGCGCAAGATATCTTGTAAGGAACCATTTGCATAAAAACTTAATTAGAATTAAAAATTAATATATCCTCACAACGTCCACACCAGAAAGAAACGGTAAGGAAGTGCAGCAATAACAGTTTTGGTGTCTGTTTTGATCTTCGCTAAAGATGTTGGACAACGACAGCACATTTGATTTAACCTCTGGTTGAAATCTACAAGGTCTACATGGATATATAATCTTCTGTATGCCTAAAATAACTGTTCTTTCTTGATCGAAATATTTTCGATATAATTTTATTAAGGTAGCTATGCGATATTGTGGTCCGATCCGGTCAGCTCCCACCAACGTACTGCCTTCAGCAAACCAAAGGATTTATAACAATGTTCACCAAGATTGCATTAAAAAAGTGGTCCTTTCTCACATATAAGAATAAAAAATCGAATGGACGGACAGGGCTATATCGACTCGGCTGCTGTTCAAGAGTTACTTTATAAAATCTGAGATACCTCCAAATCTGTAATGATTATTTTAATGATTCACATATGAAGAGCATCTGAGTGAAGCGGAAACGATAATTGTATTTATTTTCTCACTGTTTTTTTCTCTCTCTCTCTCTCTCTCTATATATATATATATATATATATATATATATATACTTACTTCCTCTTCTATGCTTACTTCAAGTTTCCTATGAGGAAGCCCAAATAAAATATGTTTGGAAGAATGACGAAGATACATTACGCAAGAGTCCATCTTTGACCACGCTAAATGCATATTTGATAAAAAATCAAACCACGGCCTGTGATCAAAACAGTTGGCGAGGTAAGTTCTCAATCACTTAATACGCAAACGTATTGATCTCTTGCGTGTATATTGTATAAGTATTTGATTTTATATGTTTCTATTTAGGCGTGTATTTCTTATAAGTAATTTATTAGCTATTCGGGCTATCAACCAAATTTGCAGCTACATATTTATTTTTTTTAGAATCTTATAAATGAAGACTACCATTTTTTATTTGCTTAAGAATATTTCAGTTTGTAGTATGGAGCGTAGTAATTTGCTTATTTAAATAAATAAATATATTTACATATTACCAACAAATACATTTCTGCATATCTAATGGTCTAATTTTTGTCTACCCCTAACCAAAATATACATTAAATGTTACGACAACAACTACTTGGCCAACTCCTACTTTCTACAAAAACCAACAATAAAATCCCATAAACAAAATCGAATCCATAGGGAACTACAGCTGTCTTAGGGTCGATTTAATCTTTACAAGAGATCGTGCATTCTATTTCACCACCGTTTTTATACCTGGCATTATATTGGTGACGTCATCTTTTATAACATTCTGGCTAGAATGGAATGCCGTGCCTGCTAGATCAATGATAGGTAACAAAAACTAAATAAAAATACCACCAATATAAAAAAATAAAATACTTAATAAATAAAACTACCATTAACAAAAAACCCATTACTTTATCAAATTTATCCTCGCTCTTTTCACTACAAACTAATAAATTAATTTTTATATACGCCATTGAAATTTGTTTTCATTCGCCTTTGTAGCAATTGGCTTCCAAATATTTTTATTGCCCTTTTCATGCGTCACTTATAGTCCTATTTCATTTCAATTGAGTAATAAATTATATTTTATAATTTCTACCATATAAAGTAGTCTGTATTTGAAGACATATTTTTATAAAAATAAAAGAGCGAAAGGCGAATTCTATTTAAAGACTTTAATTTAAATTCGCTAACAGTAACCAACCAAAATGTGAGAAACAACCCCTTTTTGAGTTTATTGCTTCATGTAAGGTTTACAGCGTGGGTTCCGTTTTCGATATTGTATGCCAAATCTCCTTAGAAACCAGTCTCAGAACAAATCAAATACCATATTAATTTCTTTCACCATCCTGAATTTCAGCATAGAGAAAAAAACATAATTTGCTAGTCTAGAGTAGGCTAGGTTACATTTACTTTCCTGTAAAAATATGTGTTTCTGTCTCTGTCTGTGTTTTTGTCTAAGAATTCAACTGCGTCAACTGTTGTTCGCAGTTGCGTATTAAGATTTTTAATTAATGGCCCCAACTTGAACGATTTTGGCGTTGTACTTTAAGGTAATTACAGTTGCCTACAGGTCGAGTTGACATTTACCCGTGATCGTGCATATTATTTTACAACCGTTTTCATACCTGGCATTATATTGGTCACCTCGTCATTTATCACATTTTGGCTGGAATGGAATGCAGTGCCAGCCCGTGTTATGATCGGTACGTAAATCAAATTCCAACAAGTAAGAACGTTCTTGGTCGGATGTGACCGACTTTATAATACTCTGATCCCTGTGCAATTAAAGCTAACGCAATGTAGAATGTTTTTTTGTGAAGTATGTACAATGTATGAGGTAGGGTGTGCGCTGACGTATGATAAAAAGAATTCAGTCAGATAACTAGATTGCACTCAAAATTAACATATTTCAGTCGGCAACAAAATAAGCAAATTAAAAAAAAATCGTATCGCGATTTACATTGTCTCCGTCAAAAGGCTCGTACATTTTTAATAAAACTGGATGACAATTATTTCATCTGTTTTCTATTCAGTTTCACCTAACTTCCAAAACTGATACATTTATAGTATTTTTTTTAAACTTTCCGAGACTATAAAACCAATATAGTTCATGTTGTTTCTTGTCTTGTTTTAAAAGTACTACAACACAGTACTACCACAGTGGTTAGTGGGCTTTTACATTTTATTATTATTTTGTCTAGGCCTATAGCCACGCACACCTTTATTAGAGCCTGGCGCCGTCCTTGACGGGATCGGAGTACAAACTACGAACTAAAAACTACATATACATCTTAAAGCGTAATTCAAAGAACAACAAAGCCTCATTTAAAATCAACAAAATTGTGTCACATAGTGACATTTTAGAGTCCGTTCTTCAAGTAAGTTCCTGACCTGTCTAAGAGCTATTTTCACAGATTCTTGGCAATATTATCATAAAATACAGGTTTAGTTGGCATATGTTTCACATGTCCATCAAGCAAACAATCCAATCATGCACAAAAGGCAGCACCAAACAATAAAAAAATCATTAAAACTTAATTAATTGATCTAAGTGGACAGCTTTGAAAAATCATAATTTTACGGAGAAATGTTGTTTGCCTCGACCTTGTGTAAATGTCTCTTTCTCAACATTTTTCTTGATACTTCCCTAAAATAGATAAAATCAAAATTAACCATCAGTTCAGTCAAAAGTCAAGAATTTCTATATAAAATACTTTCTTTAGCAACAGAGTTCCCTCAACATATTCATTTTTATTAAAATTAGATTTTAATTTACTTTAATAGTTTGTTGTCTTCCTCAATATGGCATTTTATACGACTTAAAATATGGTGAAATGATATTTCCTCAAATTTTTGCACAATTTTTGCTAAAAATTCACAAGACTAAGTCTAACACTGCATGCTACATTCCACTAGTTTCCTAAACTTCACTTTTGACCCTTTATCGTAACGTAAGAGTTTTTTTTTACAAATATCGACTGAAACAGTTATTTCTAAAATGTGGATCATATGTAATTTTACGAAATCAACAAAACACAAGAGAAAACGTAGCAGACGGGTGTTACCGACTGCGAAATACTCTGATACCAATAAGGCATACCATCTGAAAACGGGTGCCACAGAACAGAATGAACGTAGCCAAGAATTATCGATCTTTGAAGAAGGTTTCCAATTAATCTATACTTCAAGTTTACCGTTAAAATTGCTATTGTGAATTTTGGGGGAGGAACAAGGTTAAGGTATATTAAGGTATATTACAGACCAATTAGAAGGCTACTTATAAAAATTATATTTTTAATTTGATGGTTATCTATAATATCTTATAATCTCTGAGTTCATGCAGACGGATAGGCGGATGGCTAGATCGGCTTAGTTGTTGATTCTGATCAAGAATATAAATTATGGGGTTGGAAATGCTTCCTTCTGCATTTTATATACACAACTTCATTACACCCATTGTTAATACGTTCAAAGTATAATAAGTGAACACATTTTTTCTGTTTTATACATTTTTATTTGTTAGTTGGTTTATTTAAAACTAAATAAATATTTAAACAGTTTGTTTTATGTTTTTAAACATGACATATAAACATAAAATACAATGTATTGTCTTACTATTTTTTTATTTTAAAACATGATTTTGGTAAGAATTATTTTTGTTTAATGTTTTTATATTACACTTTAAATAGGTTTATAAGATTTAATATCAATAATAATTTTTTATGGTAAATTTATTTTCAACACAAACTGTTTTTAATGTTAAGATAAGTGCCTTAGATATAAGCGCACTTACGAAACGTTGTGAACGAAATTATCGTAACATTTGCGGAATACGTAAACTTTTGCTCAGAAAAACTATTGCGTTTAAATATATTAGTTAATTATATTATACCGTGGAGTCAAATGCATAAATGTTTACCAATGCGATACCAATTTTTTGTTAGCTTTAAGTTGACAATCCAAGTTATTTTCAACAAAGTTAGAAGTCTGCCTAATCAATGCTTTTGCGAAGTGTTGAGACAACTGCGAAAATCAGAACAATAACAAATAGCGAGCGAAGTAGACTCTTCAGAGCAAAAGCGAAGAGATATTCAATGTATAAGGCACTTGATTTTTTCCATATAAAGCGAGGTTAGGGTGCGAAATTCGATTAAAGGCAGCGCTAATAAAATTAATACAATATTTAGTTATAACATGAAAATAACAAATTAATAAAGTGTTCAGCCTCCAGATTTCATTATATCTGAAAAATTTGATTTGGCATGGATACAACAACTATTTAGAACTCAGATAGTGGGATTTTAGACAAGTCCTTAACGACAGCCTTCGTAGCTGCTCAGCTGTCTCAAACTGTCGATTACCAACTTAAACTCGACGAAACAGGAACCCCATATGTACTCTAAGGGATTCAGGTCGGGTGATCTTGCTGTCCACTCTAAAAGCTTAAAATTCTTATCCCGAAACCACCCACGACAGGCTCTTGGTACATGTATTGGAGCATCGTGCTGGAATAAGGCATTTGGGTATGGTTGATGCTCCATAAAGTTCATCAAACGTATTGGACACGTTTATATAACCCTCCGAGCTCATACGGAAATTTTTCAAATCAGTGCTCAGATCTCATCACAGATCATGAGTGAAGCACCGTCACAGCTTTGAGTAAGGTAAAATCTCTCAGACTTCAGTAATATTTTCAACCGTTTAAATCATCGAAATTACATTTTTTTCTCATCAGAAAATACCACATTTTGCTACTCGTGGGTCCAGGACATGTGTCCTTTTGCAACATTTAATCTGCATATGTGGTGTGCCCTCGATAACGTTGGCTTTGACCACATTTTCGTCCAAACCAACCGACCACCATCTGATAAGATTTGTTGAACACAATGTTTCCATATTTGTAACCTTAAATCAAATTGAATTTTAGCATTTTATCCACCTGATAAGATTTGTTGAACACAATGTTTCCATATTTGTAACCTTAAATCAAATTGAATTTTAGCATTTTATCCAGCCCAGCCCGTATGCAGCCCAGCGAAGATTGCAAATATCTGCCTGTGTGATCATTTTTTATGTTTTTTTTTTTTTTACATTATTTGTTGTAGTTTTCTTTTAATTTAAACATGCCATCAATTACTGATGCCGATCGACATCATTTAATTTAATTTTATTTTATCCTTGTAAGCAAGGATCTTAGCTATCTCCTCAAGTTAAAGTGTCTTGTCCTTTCCTATTCCAAATTTTTGTGTGCATCTCATCTACTTTTACCTATAAAATATTTAATAAATATGTATTCTTTATTACCCCATTCAAAGAAATTTCAAATAACGTCCTATTTCCTTTTTCGAAGGTTAGAAAGTGACTGTCTTTAATTGAAATTGGCGCCAAAATTAGCTCAAAAACACAATTATGTAAGAATCTTAGAAAAACTAACGGAACTTTCATTCCAACGTATCATAACAGTGTAAGAAGAAGCACCCATATAAAATGTGTACACAAAGACCCACCCGTGAGGCTTGATACAATTTTTAGCACCAGGCTTTGTTAACTTATGCCAATGTTGGTGACAAACAGAAAAAGTATTTCGTACACGTAGAATATTTTTTCTTGGTTAGCATCAAAAGCCAAAAGAGTCTATTTAGCCATGGCCATCTGGCATTTACTCAGTCTGTACGAATGACACTTATATAACTAGAAAGTTTCAATATGCAAAATAACTTCGCGTACACAACGCTCAAATCAAGTTTAGTTAATTTGATCTAAATTAATATTATTATTGGTCGAATTTTTGTTATATTTTTATTGGTTATATTGCGGCTCTAATTGATTGATGGTTATAGATCTTAGTCTAGTCCTATAATGTGCAGAAAGCAATGATTAATCCTGGTGTCAGAGCTCTCAGCTTTTTACTTTTTCTGGCTTCAAAAGAATCTTGCCAGATTTTCACAAGCCTGGCCCGACTTCACCGAGAAAATCACATTTGAGACAACCTTGTAGGATCGTATTGTTTCGATTGCTACCGCATCGCTTTAGGGCGTGTACTTCCGCCTGTAAAATGCTTGCAAATTGCCTGCATACACTACCTCTCCCTGTGTTAAAGTATGATCATGTGACGCTCTAAACAGGTAGCAGGCTCATGAGGCATTCTCAAGGGTAGGTACTCGCGGCTGGCCTCAATAGGATCACGCTATTTTTATAGATCGCAGAGGAGGTATTTAGCGGTCGCCTTACAAGAGGCTGCATTAGAAACATATTTATATAGGTTTAAGAATTTTTAATGAAATTAAGACCTGTTCATCAGAGGCGAAAGTCGAATCTAAGCGTCGTCTCATCGTGTTGATTATACTCTTATAGTGTTTCACACACCCAGCTTCCTCTATGAGAGCTAGCGATACTCTTAAAGCGCATCGAAACTAGGAACATATAGTTGTCTGTACCCGCGTCAGACAAAGTGTTAAAATTGGGGTGCGATCTCCACTAATAGACTAGGAAATCGTTCAAATCGATAGTCGCAAATTGAAAGGCTAAATTTGTATTCTTTGTTACCGAAGGTGTCATCGTATATTGGTTTTGTGCAATGTCCATCATGCTGTCTGTCCGTCTGTATGAACGCATTTTTTTTAAAACTTGGAATATATACTGGTATTTGCCCTCATAAGACACTTGCCCTACTAGGGGCTAGGAAATTGTTAAAATCGATATTCATAAATCGATAAGCCACATATCTCCCACAATTTTAAGGCTACAGTCACAAAATTTGATTAATAGGTTGTTGGCCTTCAAAAATCGACATATGCCACGCCAACATCCACCGCACCCAGTCCCCAGGCCTGCACCGCTAAAGATTTTTAAAAAAATTGCTATATTTTCCGCAGTTACTGAGTTAGAGCCGTCGAAATTGGTATTAATATTACTGGTAGCCGCCTTTAAAAGCTGATAAAAAATTTGTATGGCCACGCCCACACCTGCGCCCATAATAGCCAAAGCCAATGTTTCGGATGGAAGATTACTAGGAACCTTCTCTTAAAATTTTTTCGGCCACGCCCACTCCTTCCCCAACATCATATTTCCCGTAATTTCAGAGCTACGGTTACAGTTACCAAACTTTGAAGAAACGTTACTAGCTTATATCTATCGCAATTTGAAAGGCAAACTTGGACAGTGTTTCTTGGCTACACCAACCCTGTTCTTTGCTACCTGCTATCAGTTTATATTACATATGGTCAAGTATTTCGCAGTCGGTTACGTCCGACTGCAACGTTCCAACGTTCTGCTTTAACAAGACTACAGCTACCAAATCTGACTGGTGGTTGGCGATGTCCTTCAAAACTCGGCCTCGATCCCAGGTCCCCGCCCATAAATGTATACATTAAAATTTGAAAGGTATATTACCGGTAACCGTCTTTAAATATCGATAGAAATGAGAGAAATTATAGACACCCCTATACGTTGCCTATAATTGCCAAAAGCTGCTTTTCTGAAAATGTAGATCGATAAAACCGCATATCCCCCACAAAGGAGATACTTCTCCTTCAAAGATCGGGATATAAATTTTCAATTGAAAATCTCAAATGAGCATATTTTTTACAATTTGTATGTGAAAGTTGTGATAAGCTTTTCTAGACATCGACTGCCCTTAAAAATGTCATCAATATCGGTTGAGAATCACGGAAAAAAGTTTTATTTTCATATTTAACAAATTAAAAAGGAGCAATACTACGCATTTTGTGTATACATGTGCGCAATCATGCATACATATCTTACAATTGCGCGTGCTTCTCCGCATTTTGATCTTAACATTTTATGATAGGTTACGATTGTCACAATTTCTCTTCTAGAGCCTGTTACTTTCTTAGAATTATCGAGTCTCTAGTGTGAGGAGGCCTTTGGAGTGAGTCATTTGGTTTGACATAGTTTTGCTCACTTTGTGTTCATTATTTAGAGTTTATTTACGTATTTTGGAGAAAATAGCAACCGATAATTTCAGTGATTTCTAAGACCAGACTTATTTTGTAAAAATTATTTATCCTGAAATAGGATAGTGAATTCATTCTTTATCAACTGCCCACAAATGTTTTGGAAAATTTACCCCACTCGTTTAAAAGCAGTTTCATTATCCTGGAATTGTTACCAACTTGAAGCAATCCTTTTTATTTTTATATAAAAAATGTAGAACATTTATAATCCATTTATTAAAATAAACTCAACCTGTTAGGCTGTTTACCACTTTTCTTGGCTATCAATTTAGGATCGAAACCAATAATATTTTCCGCTGAATATGATGACAAAAAAAAAAAAACTTTTGCACATGTTTAATATAAAATTAGATTTTAAATGTATTTTTTAGGAGTGCATTAAAAATGTCTCCCTGTATAGTGTAGAGGCTAATTAGCTTTGCACACATTGCACAACTAAATAGTTCCCTCGCCTGAGCCCTGATAAAATATTGACTCGAATACTCAATTGTGTATATACATTTTCACATCAAATTCAATTATACGTAAGTTGCAACTATCATGCAAAATTCACATTCCCTGAACTGCAACTAAAGATACGCTGTCGTGTCCCCAGAAAGTCTGCATCGCGATTGTATTTTGATATCAATGTTTTGATGACTAATGCCAATTTTTTTATTTTTCTTAAATCATGCTATGCTCAACTGCTTGTAACAAAACCAATCAACAATAATTAGGCGTGACAACAATGTTGAATTTCTTCACTACCTCGAACGGTTTTCGCAGCACCCTGCCAGTCGTCTCTAATCTGACGGCGATGAACGTGTGGGACGGCGTTTGTATGTGCTTCATTTACGCCTCTTTACTGGAGTTCGTATGTGTCAATTATGTGGGCCGCAAGCGTCCATTACACAATGTCGTTTATCGTCCCGGTGAAAATCCCGTAACACAGGTAAATTAATTTGCAAAATAAGATAACGAACTCAAAACTAGTAAGATAAGGCACAATAGGCCACTCGGAATTCTCAAATGTGGCTGATTTATTATATTATATATTTCACAAAGAATAAATTTTAAATTAACATAACCGTATATCGATAGAAACCATACAAAACCCTGACACACACTCAAATCAAACTATCCTCCAAACCGCAACAAAATGTTTCATTGTTAATTTGTGTATTACACTCACAGCCCCAATTAATTCAAAACTAAAACTACATTAAATTACACCTAAGCTAATGTCATAGAAAAAAGAAACTCCAGTCATTGTATTGTGATTCGTGCTTTTCATATTCTAACTATTTAAATCTCCTCTATTCCTTTATTCAAATAATATTTCTCTTGATATCTTTGTATCGACAGTCTTACATCAAATTTAGTGCTAAGTCTTACTTAAACATACTAATTATAAATACCTTATCATAATATTGCAATAATACTCACAATGTATTGATATTTCCAAAATCTAAGTGATCCTTATATATTTAACTCAACTTATTTGCCTACCATAAATCGAATGCCACAATTAAAAAAAGATTTTTTACGACAGCGTAAATAATTATGAAAAAATATTTTATACACATACACACCATATTAATAAATAACATAATTAGAAAGGCTTCTTATATATTTTTTCAGAAATATATTTCTAAATGCTAGAAAATATTTCTAAAAAGTATAATTGCAAAACCGTTTTTTCGAAAAAATCTTTTCTGAAAATCAAATAGCAATGAAAATTACTATCTCGAGTTTAGCTTCTATCTGCGGTCTAGCGAACGCGTAGCTCAGTTGGAAGTTGAGTACCTTGATAACAAATTCAAAATTGTTTGTGTATAATAATATAGTAACACCAAGGAAAACTTACCTTAACTTACTTAAAGTAAATAAAAAGTATATTTTATTTCAGGTTAAATTTTTCTACAATTGTCCAATTTCCTGATCTCTTTTATAGATATTTAGAACTATAACTAATTGAATACTACTGAAAATTGTTTTTCGAAAATATACGCATTGTGTGAAACAAATTGAGGTTAAGGTTGTCGTCAAATTGGCCTCCATATTTTTTCCATGCTTAAATTAAAATTAATATCGGGGCTCAACCTTTGGAAAGGGTCGTCAGTTATCTAAATTTCAAATTTAGAAACGAAAGCTCTTAAATTGCTGGAATGCAGATATCGACTATTGTGAGCGTTATTTATATTTTCCAAATTTTTTAACTGAAGCTCTAAACTTATAAGAGATATAGATCTTCGAGATTTTTGTGGGTGGAAGTGCGCTCAAATATTACTTATAATTTTACAAAGTATTGTTGTTTTAAATCTAAAATTGTATGTGAAATATGATTTTTTACGATTTTCATCGTAATCTTTAAGAATGGTTATCACTCAGCTACTTCCATCTGTGGCTTATAGGATTTTTCTGAGAGTATCATTTACACTGTCTGTATTCATCCTGCTCTTATTTTGTATCATATTAGTAAAAACTTGTATGTATAGTAATCCTCTAGACTTAAATATGTGCCTCAAAAAATGCTTTATAGTGGGTTAGGATGTATTCAAGAACAAAAATGTAAGAAATAAGAGGTGTGAATATATATACTGATTGGGGAAGATCTCTTTCAGTTTTAAAATTATTATACTCCCTTCAATAATATTTATATTTTATTAATATCAAAACCAATTTGCTTGTTTGCAATTAATTGTCAGTATTATATGTATGTACATTTTGTATTAATTCTGATGTTGATGATTTGCTTGTTTGCATTTTTAAAAATAAACAAAATTAGTAAGAACGAGAGAATATCGTATTCTCAAATTCACAGATTTTCCCAGTTTTTAGTTTTATCCCAAGCAATAAATCTTTCTTAAAAAAAATCGCTTATAGAAATGGTGACAGCATATCAAATGTTGTTTTAATATTTTAAAGATTTACATGTTAATTAATGTGGTATGTATACTTACTCTATATTGCATTTTTAGTAGATATATATTATATATAAAAATTATATATATATACATATTTATATATATTATATATATATATATATATATATGTATTTAATTACTTTATTGAACTATACAAAAAGACTGAGTTGAGTGGCATGCTAAGCATTTTCATTAATGTTATGTAATGACATAAAATATATTTATATACACATAAATAATATATGTGCTTTATGAAAGTAAGATGGATAAAGTTAAGTAAAAAAAAAACTAAGAAATACATAACTTAAAACGTAATTTTTCCAAATATAACAAATTTTTGTAATAAGTGGGTGTTTTTTTTTTTTTAATGTTGTGTCGTTAGCTCGAATATTGCGAGATATATATGCTTTCCCAATGGGAGCTGGATTACCATAGAAAAAGTATTTTCTGACCCAGCTTCTGAGAAGATTCTTAATAATCTACATTCCAAGCTTAAAACCTTTAGTAACTCTTAAATTGCGGCAGATATATGATATCTCTATTTTTGGAGCAGGGTGGGGAACAGCCAAAAATTGGTTTTCCGATTTGTTAAGACTTTCAAATTTGGTGACTCTAGATTTTAAAATCAGTGAAATTTTCGGTTTTCTCGAATATACCGCAGAATACCAATTTGGAAATAACTTCAAAATGATAGTTTCGACACAATCACTAGAAAATTAATCGAAATTATTAACAAAAAGTGACATTAGCTTTTAAATTGTGGCAAATTTATTGTTTTTAAGGATTAAGGAAAAGCGAGAGAATGCGATTTTCTCTTTCAGATCGAAGTCTAACATAAAAAAGGCTGATACTTTTTATCAAGACGGGCTATCATAGAAATGTGCCAGAAGTAAATGACAAAATCAACTCAGCTCAACATCATAATTAAAAATTAATAGATTTTGTTATTTGGTGGTATGTATATAATTTTGTCACAAAATTATAATAATCTCTACAAGCAAGCCCGATTCTCTCAAAAGTTCCAATAATTTAATACTCTGTACGCAGATCAGGTCTATTGTAACATAGGGTTAAAGTTACATGTACAAATACTTACAAAAATGTATAGTCCCATTCCGCGGTATAGAAAAAATTTTCTTAAATGTATTCTGTGCTTATTGTCCGATCATTATAAAATGTTCTAGGCGTATGTATAGATATTAAGATTAGACAAATATTCTGAAGAATGTATCTTTAAAGTGATATAACCATGAATTTGAGCACAAGATTTAAAGATCGCCATATGCCAAGTTTTTAAACATAATTTTGATTTTATTTAAAATTAAAAAAAAATAATGCAAAATACTAATTTAATTATTCATATATTTAAATATTATACATAAAACTTAATATATAATAACGTAATAAAATTAGATGTGTATTGCATTATACTCGATCAGCCAAAGAAAAATCGAACATTGTTCCCAATTTCTGTGATATTTTATATTATATTTGAGACAAATCCTAAACGATATGCTATATAAATAATTAACTTAATAATAACTAAGCCATGCAAATTTATAGCAGGATCGATTCAGTCAAAACTAAAATCAACAACAGCAATAATTAAACTTAAAGTGTGTTTTGAGTATGAATATTATTTTATGTACATTTTTGCAGCGTCTTCCAGCGGTACTAAGCAGGATCGGAGTAATTCTTGCAAGTCCTTTGGTAAGCTATTAACCAGAAATCATGCACCTTCCCTTCAATTTTTGAAGAGTCAATGAACACTAGTAACAACATACCATAAACATAATTGACCACAAATTCTTCAATAGTCCTGCTTTTCAAAGTTTACAAAAATCAACTTAAAAGCAAACAAAATAAAAACAAACATATGGCATGTGAATTTCGCTTTTAAATTTATATGCATTACAAATTGTAACGTTCCGTTTTTTTATTATTTGGACTATTAACATATATTATTTATTGTTATTTGCCTTTTAATCAAATAATAAAGTTATATTTATAACAGTTATTCAAATTACATTATGTAGATGCACGCTTCAAGCATTTTAGTTAAATATTATTTATGAAGTCCTCGATTATTTCCATCGTACTCCTATTTTAACCATATTTAATCGTTCAATATACTCTTTTTAGGAGACACAAAACAAACCAATCAAATAACTTCAACCAACTTGTGCATAAATAACAAATGAATGTAAATTAATTTAATATTACAACCATCACAATATTTACTACAAATTTGAGTTAATAAAATTTAGAAAGAAAAAACAACAAAAAAACACACTTTAAGATCACTTATAATTGGGAAAAATGTTCCGAGCAAAACTCGAAAATAAGAATATATTTATTATATGGTAGTTATGTAAAATCTGAAATTATAATTAAATAAGATGTATGATCATTTTTATTAGTTTTGTGGACTTTTATGTCAACAAATTGCCTATGTTTTCTGTTTGTTCTTTGATGACAACTGAGACGCCTTGAGACACATTTTTTACTAAACAAATTATACATACGCTTGCTTTAAAATTTTCCTTGAAATACTAATACTCATGTACTTACGTATGTGCATATCTGTAAAATTGTATAGACTCAATTTCTAGTTCAATTTATTGTGTTTCAGCTTTATCTACATTGTTGATAAATATGTATGTGTTGTAATCGACCCAAGCGCATTGGCTGTTAGTGACACCAAAAATTCTTAGTCGTGCATATAATACAGATTCACTTTAATCCCAATTCGCTATGAACTCTATAACTCTTTTACTAATTATTTGAAATCGGCCTTTATTTAGCTGTCAAAGATCATACGCAAGCCAAAAATAAAAAATAACTTCAAAAAATACTTAATGATATGTGTTTTGCCAAAGATATTTTGTACAACAAATCAGAGTTGTACGTCATTTTAAATAAAATCTTTAAGAAAGGCACAATTTGATATTTGTTAAAACAATTAAAGTAAAATTTTACTTGTAGCTTCGTATTTATTAGGAATACTGAAAAGAAAGTTTTACTTTTAGCTTAACAGTGTAATAATACATTGTCACAATGAATAAATTATTATCTGCTTAGTGATATGAGTTATCTATAAATTGATTGCAAATAAAAAGAAATCTCTAACAATACCCATATTAACCATACTACAAAAAAAAGGTGCACACTTTTTTTTTTTTTTTTTTTTTTTATATAGCATTTATATTTTAAACATTAATCAACCTATTCAAAGGCTATAAAACATTGATTTGTAACAGAATGAATAATAACAGTGAATTACAATCTATAACATAAAAATAGAACAGGTTTTAGCAGTTAATAAATAACATCAAATGTTACATTTGTGGCACATTAACTCAACGCCCAACAGTCCAGAGGTCGCTGGTGTGGAGGCGCTTCAACCTCCTGCGTTGTATTTGACCCAAGTGTGCAAGCCAAAGGGTTGACGTGGTTGTGCAACCGGTCATTATACCGACTCGTATGCCTGTTAATTTGTTGTCTGACTGTCGGCAGACCGAAATCGTTGTGCAGCGTCCTGTTACTCGTATGGTGGAGCACCAGAGATTTGAGATCTGAGCACTTTGTTCTGCAAGAGTTGAATTCGGTTTATCCAAGATTTTGTGCTGATGTACATTTTTGAACCAAAAAATTGATTAAAACCAAAAGATAATTATCATTCCAATTTAAAAAAAAAATATATTTATATTATTTTTCATTTAGAGCTTCCGTCAAGCGTTCATAACATAATATGGGAAAATGACAATACAATACCATATAAAATGATAAGATTTGAAAGACAAGTCTCTAAATAAAACTAAGAATAAGTTTTTTTCCCGATTAGTCCAAATTTAAAATGGGGCATTATAGAAACTCACTTTTGCTAAGAAAAACATAATTCTAGAAATAAAGAAAATTTAGTTTTCAACGGTTTCTAGAAGAAAATATGTGCACGACTTCAACATTGAACGAAAAATTAGAAAATGATTTGCAACTGCAATCAATAAAGTTCTACGCAGCAACCAAATAAAATGGCTACGTTAAATATGCTGAAAGCTGCAAGAGTGCTCCATTTGGCAAACTATTACAAGTATTTAGACATATAAAAACATTTGAATACACATGTAAAAGCGGTTTATTTTGGATTTTTTTGTGAAGAGAAAAGTGATTGAAAAAAAATGTGATTTACTAATATAAAAAGAAAACAGACTCTTAAAAATAACAATTTGTATTTGGTTCAAATGTTGTCAGACTCTTAATCTACTTTTACCACTATTAAATAAGCTACATTTATTTACTTACAAAATTATGACTTAACAAAAATTACTAAGCATAATCTATTATTAACGAGTACTAAACTAGACCTTCGACTTGAAGCTACAATTAAGTTGTTTTATAAATGGCAAAATTAATTTATATCACTCAACGATTTCGAATGGTTTCTCCTTAACAAGTCCGATGTCGTTGTGTATTATTGTGTCATTTTATGTAAAAAAAATAATGTGTAATTTTTTTCTATATTGATATCATATCCCTATCGCACTGTAGAGATTAATTATTTACCAACTCCAAAATATAAAACAGCATGAAAGAACCTTAATGAAAATAACAAAATTAACAGTAATATCGACTAAACAGCAACGAAATCCTGACTTAAAAGACAAACTTACTCATCAACCGGAATATAAATATGTATTTCTTTCAAAGAACAACATGCATAAGCCAAAAATATACCACCCAACCGTCCCATCCACACATCCTATACAGGAAATTATCGATCGAGAATCTCACGATGCTTTGTCGTCCTTCAAAAAAAAAGGCAAGCACCGTCGCCATGACAGCCAACACGCCGTGTGTAGCAGCTTCGTCACCCACGTCGGACACACTCAGGCACACGGAGGAGGAATTCCTTGGCGGCGGCATGCGGTGGCAGGAGGCGCATGGTGGCATCATCGGTGCAGCTGTGCAAAATTTGCGTGCACGTTCGATTAAACGTAAGAACGGTCGAGAAGCCATACGAAGCAGTTCATCGACATCCACACCGCCAAGTGTAAAGCCGCCCGCAATAACTACAGAACATATCTATGAAGAGCCAGCGCTGGGTGAAACTGCGACGACGAATGTAGCAGTCACAAGTGTTAAGTTGAAAGATGTGCAGGAGGAAGAAAGCTCCAACCTACTACGTCGCTCTGTTGCCACAAGCACGCCAGCACTAGTGGTGCACATCGAGAGCGAGACAAATGACCGAGAAAAAGGAGATGAGATGGAGAAATATCTGGGGCAGCAACCCTTGCCATCTCTTAAATTGACCGAAGATTATGTTCAGTCCGAATTGCCGTTAAAACCACCACGCAAGAAAACTTCTCGGTCTAATTCACCAAGCAGTGCCTACTCAGCAGATGCGAAATCAATAATGACAATCAAAACAACCGCTGCTGAAGCTGCGGTGCAAACTGTGAGTAGTTGCGAATCGACAACCCAAAGTGTGTTAATATCCCTTCGATGTTGTTTTTGACCCTGCACAACCGATAACTAACCATACCAATGAAAACAATTGAGAGGGATTTAAACACGCGTGCTCGGGAGCACTCGCTCGACAAAGGGTCTTCTGCTTTATCCCTTTACTCAGTAGATAGACAAAAGATTTTTGAGAAATTGTGTGTACACAAATATTAAAATGGATATATGTACTAGGTGTTATCTTTATAAATAATACTTTGTGAAATATGTATCAAGGTGTCCAAAATGAGATAAATTCTTGATCTATGGTTTTGCTGTGACAAGCTCTAATAATATCTGTGTTGTTAGGGAATATAAGAACAAAATCTTCAAATTTTGAAAATGAGTTTTCGAATTCCACTCGCAAATCACTTGATCGAAAACATTCTGTTTTTCAAAAATATCTCAAAACTAAAAATCTCTAGAAAAGTCTTTTTTTCATAGTGAACAAAGCAGATTGCAGCAAGCACAATCATTTTTCTAAAGTATCTGTGTGAATGTAGAAGTAATTAAGTTGTTGTTGGATCGCGTTCGTCGAAAGCTGGGAATATTAATATTCAACTTGGGGCCTCTAAATTGAACGCTGAACCCATTAAAAATTGGTTTAAATTCTATCGCCTGTATAAACGACGATATTAGAGACTACAAAAGCTAAAATCTTCGAATATGGAATATCAGTTCTCATATACCACATGCAGATTAAGTTTATTTAATCGCAAATTTCTCCCGATTTCGTCACATCAAAGAAATTAACAACGTCAATAAAAGCCGAAATTTTAATTTTGTTGATCTGAAGTATATTAAAGATGCAATGTTATTCAGATTCTCCTTACAGGTGTATTTGCAAGAGATACGGTTGTGTGGGAATAATTTACTTAATCCTTTGGAGTCTTTCGGATCTAGCAGCTTTTTATTTTTCTAGTCCTATTTTTATTTCATGGATAGCTTCTAAAAAATGATGATATCATTAAACAAGCTGTGTGCTCTGTGTTTAAATTAGCATTCGTTGAAAGATGAATATAATACCTATTTCGTTTTTTTTCTATTAACAATGAAAATTAAAATTCACTTCCTAAGCTTCTTAACAATTCAGACAAATATGAATTTTGAACAGAATAATATTACAAAACTTTTCACAGCAAATTATTATTTTAAAGTCATAGTAATACTATAAACTGTTGACAGGATTATAAGTGCAATTTGGATTCCCATTAGTTCGTTACCATCATAAGTTACACTCACTGTGGTGTGTTTACGGTGACCAGACGTGCACTTGTCTAAGTACTTGATTCTCCCAGAAGGTGAAACTAAATGCTTAAGGTTGTACGGTAGTGCTTATAAGTCCTCGTATACAAATTTCCGAAATCTTTGTTGGGTGTTTAATTTTCCCGGTAGCCTCAGAGCATGCTAAAACTTGGTAGAGTAAAATGGGTTCAAAAATTGTGGTGTGGAGCCAGATTGCAAGCAAAATCTATAGCCATATATTGAACCGTCACTTAAAGTTCAACTTAGGCAGTCTTTCCGTTTGAGGACTAAAAAAAATGCAGATTTGTTCGTATTTACACTAAGGCCATCTTAATTGAACAACATTTTAAATTGGTAACTGCACGCTGCATAAAAGCGCAAAGGGTCAGCGTAAATTTCCGTTAGACTATAATGGATAAGTCATCCATACTTTCTTAATGCTTTAAAGGAGTAGGATGTGATTCTCAAATTTTGATTTCGATATATTATCGGTCGAAGAATAAGTGCTTTCCAAAATTCTAGCCGATGAAAACTTTTGCTTAATAGAAGATTTTTAATAATAAAGCAGCGTTCAATTTCCTTATAACAAAAATAGTTGTATTGAAAGCAGGTCCTCAAAAGGTAGCTATACTGATAGGCATTGGCGTCGTCTACCACTATGAGGTTTACATAGTTTCTGGTGTTGTCTAGCGAAAGTTTTTGGGTCGATAGAATTCCTTACGAATTTTATCTTACTGCTTCAAGAGACTGTTTTGGCAAACTGGCAGATTTTCTCAATACTATACTGAAGTGAGTACGTCGAAATCGTACTATAATTTATACTGAATTTAAGCTACATACATATTTATGTATGTATTCTTGCACAGGCTGACAAGCTGAGTCCAGCTATATTGTTCTGTCGGCCTATAAAGCTGAAGACTTTGTATATTGAATTAATTTTTTCGTATACACTTACATAGAGTTTCTTAAGTTTGTTATTTTGTGTACCAGCGTATTGAAGGAACCATATTATTATTATTCTTTATCAGCATAAAATGTCGAGTCAATAACAGAATTGATTCTCGCGATTAAGCTATCTTCATGACACTTTTGATTTATCTAAGTCGGCACCAAACCACAATACGGAACAGCTGAGCGATGTGATATTTATTATTTTTTTATGTAGACCAATCTGTCATTATAATCATAGCATTTATTAAAATTTGCAAATTAATATTACAGCTCTAAAGTAGAGTAGTTAAATGGATATGTAAGCACTTATGTTATTGATATTTTTATAGCGGGAATAGGAAGGCACCCTGCAAAGATTAACATTGTCTACCAAAACACTTTGGCAAATATACTAAAGTGTGAGTGAGACTTGTTTCTCATTTCGGCATTGATGATCTATTTTGGAATTCCGACAGCGATCTTCAAGTGACTTAAGTTTAAGTTCTAATAAGTTCAGCTGGACTGTAAATTTTAGTTTTTTTTTTAAGGGTTGGTGACAAGTGTTGCCAATAAAACAAGATTTTAAAGGAGATTAAATACAGATGAAAATTATTGTAAATTAATTCAATGTGGTTCAAATTTTAAAAATTTGATGTGTTACATAAATGCATATGTGTGATATACATTTATTTACATATACATAAATATTTTTATAATTAAGCAAATGAGAACGTTTCAACCACACTTATCATACAGCTTTATAATACCAGTGGAAAACAGAAATCCTACAAGGGTGCAATGAGAGCGCTAGTGGTAATCGAATCGCACGTTCTTTAACAAAGGTTGGCACTCTATAAATTTCTTTCAAATTTAAGAACTTTAGCGTGTCCCACTTTCCTTAACACTAAGTATTCAAGTTCCTACATTAAGAGGTGGCGGAGAATCGTACGGACAGAAAGGACGGACAGTATCATGGATATTATATATATATATATATATATATATATATATATATATATATATATATATATATATATATATATCCATCTCTTATAACTTTTAAACTTTGTTTTTATTTCTAAAATATTTATCAAATTCTCTATCGTAATACTGCATTAACAGATGTATGCTAATCTTAAAATAGTTCAGAGACACGCATATATTTATGAAGTTAAGAACATCTTGCACACTGTTAAATTTATTTTTATCACTTTTATCACTGAAAACCCATATATTTAGTGGTTTTAATTTAGTTTGCAGAGAAACCCAAAAATGTAATCAAATCAATAATGTATTATTTAATGAAACTCAATTTACATGTTACCCTATTCACAAAAGCACTATCCAGCTTAGTTTTTTTTAATTAGAATCACATATATATGTACAAAAAAGTATTATTTAACTTAAGTTAAAAGCTTCTACTTCAATCCATTGCTTGTTTTATAGAAATCGTATTAACCACATAAAATATTTAGCACGGTTTGTGTATCTACTATGGTTGCTTTGAGTAAAACACTGCATACAAAAGAAAAAAGGAGACGAGATAGTGATGCTATCTTCTTGCTTTTTGGTGCAATATAATATATACAATCAAATTAAAAGCACTTTACAATTTTGTAGCATAATTTGTGTATATGTATAATCTTTAATATCAAATTAAATTGTATTATAATCTAATATTAGTTTGAATGAATACGCAAAAAACGATTCCCATGCCATTACTCGTCATGTCAGACATAACAAAAGATATTGCACTCAAATTTTCTAAACATAGAACAACAAATACAAACACAATACAACTAACAATATAAATAACTAAATTGTTATTTCAAGTAAAACAACTTATTCCGCCAAATTATATGTGTGAATTTTAATACTTTTTTCAATGCCGCAAAAAAACATGTATACTCGATAAATAACAGCCTGTAAGTATACTGTACAAATATGCATATACTTTTTTAATATGGTTTGCATTTCAATGCATACTTCTTGATAAAAATGAAAGACTTATATTTTATTTACATACGTACTAAACTTCTCGTAATTGAATAATAAATATTCTTGTTGTTGTATTTTATGACGAAATACAAAATAGACAGTTGACAAAAATAGCAATATATTTTCGTTTTGAGCCTTTTGAATTCAAACTGAATGTGTGTAAATGAAGTCTGTTGCTTGTATTTAAAACTAACAAATCTTCTTTTTACTGATCCTCAATTAATACAATGTTTTATTTTGTTGGCTGTCTATCAGGGCGAAAAACGACGCGACGCCGGAGCACCGAATGAGATTGTGGCATGTACCACATGCGGCGGCAGCAGCAGCCCATGCACCCATTCGGTTAACAATGGCTGTGCCACGGAGGTGAGACAACAGCCCGAGTATATTTCATATACTAATTAAACGATAATGCATTTTATATTTCCAGACCTGCTTCGTTCAAATGCGCAAAAAAGAGCCACCGCATCCAATACGCGTTGCCAAGACGATCGATGTCATTGCTAGAATAACATTTCCAACTGCCTATGCTATATTTCTGATATTTTTCTTTGTACACTATAAGGGATTTTCTTAAAATTTAGCTGAACCGACACTCAAAAAATGCGCAAGGTGCACAGCAATGAAAACAAAAAAAAATCATAAGATAACCTTAAGAAATAGAAAAACAAATTAATTTCGTGAGAGACAAGTAAAGACGATGCTGTCGGACCAAACCGACTGCTTAATACTCTGATACCAATAGGTGCTAAGATGCATTTGAGCGGAGGTGGCCAATGATTAACCTATAATATATTCAGTAGTTCACTTTCAAATTTTGTTGTCTCTAGTTTAAAATTGGAGAAATTATAAATTTTATTGATATTTCGAGATTTTACTAAATTGGCAGCCACCGGTGAGCGAGACCAATTAACAATATTAACAATTTGTCTGACACAAAGTCACGTCTCGAGCTGAAATAATTTAAATAAAGTTAATACGGACAGATGGACGGACTTACATAATACAAGAAGGACACTGCGCAAAGCCAATCTACAGGACATTCAGCTTCGGTATCAGTGTATATAAAGTTAATGAAAGAATGTTAAAGTTCGTTGAAATTTCACTTAAATGTACCAAATGGCAACACAAAGTATCTATTTAAAATCGAATATACTTAATTACAATTCCAATAAATTGTAAAAAAAATAAAACAAGTGATAAGTCATATAGTCAATATAACAAGAAAGAATATATTCTTCAATGGGCTTTTTTAAGTTGATAATATTAAATTCATAATTTTTGCAAAAACAAAACTTGCTAATTGGAAGTGGTCAACAAATGCTTTAAATACTTAATTGTAAAGGAATATTAAGCAAGTTTTTAAATATAGTTAAATACATTCATAATTATATTAAAACCAATTTTTTAAGAACTTATACTGAAAGTTTGTTCCAAAACAAACATCTAAGAACCTTGCCTGAGAAAAATGCGAGCCATGAGATAAATTCTATAAGCATATTATATAAATCAGTAAAAAAAAATGTAAAAAAATGCTTTCCGTAATTACACGTATTAAGGAAAGATGTGTGCACAAAATTCTTACTATGACGCTTAGCTTCATATGATGATTCGTATATGTAATTATAAACATATATGGAATTAAGTTCTAGTCTGTCTAACATAAGAACTTGCTTTGTCCGGAGTTCGAGATATTATTACATTTTATATGTTTTCAACAAATACATATTGATAGGCGTATTCGATGTCTACGCCTATCTCAACCCCATAAGTCTGGCCATTCTAGTTTGTATTCGCCTCAAATTCGTCTTTGTCTTTTGCACAGTAGTACAATTTCTTCAAATCTATATAATGATTCAGCTCTTCGCAGTAGATTGTGTGTTTTCTTGTTAAACTTTCATACTATCCTGTTAAATAATTAAACTTTTTCCTATTCTTCTTTCATCTTTTTGTTCCTGATTTTTTCTCTCAAGTTATTCTTTTTCTATTCGATTTCCATTAAATTTTGGCCAGCGCCAGATTGATTCAGCTGGTGCAACAGGAATGAGCACAATGATTTTGAATCGAGCATAAGGTTTTTTCAACTAGTTCTCCAGCAGCACACCACCACTGTCCAAAAACTTTGGTTGCATATTATTGGGTTTTAAGTAAACCAACAGTTCGTGGATTAATGAGCCTACGAGAAATGAAAGTTGGACGCTTTCCATTGCATATTCTTTTTGTCCGTAATAGTAAACAACGCTGGTTGTCTAGATGCAATATTTTTGAGCCGCTCGTGCTGTTAGCCTGGATTAGATCACAAATTCATTGAATCAGGATTTGCATTTCTTATCTACCTTAACAATCCGCACTATTTTCACACATCAACAATTCATCAAAAGTTTGCACCCTGTAAACATTTCTGGTCTTCACCAAACCCGTTGCAATATTTCTCTCCTTTCTACATCTTCATTATTAAATTCTTCGACCATTTAGTCAGAAAATTAAATTTCTTTACATATTTCCTTTCTGATATTCTGCCGGCTAAGTAAGCAGATATTTGCATGAAACTCCTCAGCCTTTTTGTCATAATCGAATCCTTCAAATGTTTTCAAACACTCCCGAGATAGAGCCACTATGTATCGAATCAAAATGTATGAAGAAGAATAACATACATATATATATTTTATACTCGTAACTCTTTTAATCGCGACATCGCTAGATTTATTTAGTAAGAATACAGCCGTCGTTTTTGCTATCGTTGTTTTCAAATCGAAAACTAGCTCAGCCTATAGTTCGAGATATTATTACATTTTATTATGTTTTGAACAAATATAAGTTCATGTTTAGTGTTCCGCGTATTTGTGGAGTTGTATTATTTAAGCACATATAGCATGTGTGTCTATGCCCATCTCTATCACGCAAATATGTGTATATATTTAAATTAAAAAAATTAAAAAATTTAAAATTTAATTTTGTTTGTTTACTTGATTCAAATGCCTCCATGTCAAAATATTGTCATAAAATGTCGCTCAAAGCTGTATATAACAAAATACTTCGAATGTTGTAAACTTTAGTTTTTAATTGGCTTTATCATTTAAATAAATATTATGTTATTTTCAATGCATGAGTTGCTGTGGCAATTTTTTTTGATACTATGTACTCCCATAAACTAATTAAAAAGAATTTGATCATGCAAATGTATGAAATGTGTATAGAAATGCATATCCGTTCCCGAAAATTTGTTATTGTTATATCCATTTTGTCTGTATGAACCCGTCGTTTTCAGACAAAACACAAATTGAGATCTCATATTAAGAATATAGGCATTCTCGTATAACGTATTGATCAGCAACAAAAGTAGTCCTTTCTCTGTATGCGTGTCAGCCTGTCCATCTATATCAACGCTCCGATCTCAGAGACTATAAGGGCTAGAAACTTCACATTTGAATATGGACATTACCGTGGTCGCAAACGTGACTATTCCACCTGTAAAGCACAATCAAGCAAAGAACAAAAACGGATGGAAATACCCATTTATCACACACAGATCAAGTTTATTTTATTTTACCGATAACTCCCAAGTTTTGCAAATATCGATCCCAATAGCAATAATAGTCACAATTTAAAGATTTATCCAGCCATATTAGGCAAAAGAAGTATGCGCTGGCATAACGCTGATGAAGACCGGTTGAGAAATTCAGAAGGAAATCATATATTCATATTTATAAAATTACACAGCGGCAAGCACAAGCATTATATAAATGTGCACATAAGTAAATACAAGCAATAACTGTAAGCGTATTTTTCAAAGTATTTTTAATATTTAAGATAGACTTGGTGCATCTCCTAATATTTTAGTTTGACTTTTTAGACAAAAGCAAATGATAGGAGAGCCTGAACGGTGCATTTTGAATGTACACTGAGAAATATTAAAATATGTCCATTTGATACATGAGCGAGTATAAACATACGTTAGCCAACAGCCAACTCTTTACTTTAGTTAATTTTTTCATACAATAGCTAACCAGACACAAAAGCAAAAATTGCGCTAGCCGTCCTAAAGCCAAAGCTCATGTAAATACACAGATATTTTTGATTTTGCGGAATGTATGAAGAAGTACTGCAGACCATTTTTTAGAGATTGCTGTGATTTATTTTGTTGATCGTACGATGTTTTATGTATGCATGTTAAAACAAAACATAATGATGCAGTAAATTGAAGCGGGGTGCAGGGTACCTATTTGGGAACTTATATAGTTTACTAAGATCAAAGAAAATATATATTTTAATAAGCTTTTCCCATGTAATATAAAATTATCAATATTTATTTTAAAAGAATTATTGTAATTTTCCCGAATTTCGTGCCCTCTGCCGAAACTAGAACAATTTATGTTAAAAGCACTAGCAGCAGGAATTGGATTAGACAACATAAATTAAAAGAAAACACATATCAAAGCTTAATGGACTAAAACTTATACAATACAAAATTATAAAAACAATATATAACATCATAATATAAACAATATGAAAGAAAACAAGAATTTAAGCCATCAAAATTAAAAAAAAAATCGCCTAAGTATTTTAAATACAATTTCTGTCAAACACAAATCAAGTCCTGCAACATTTACACACAGAAGACCAAAACTAGAAAACACTCCATAAACAAAACACGTATGGATATGGATATTCATATTTTTAAATAAGAAATATAAAATAAGCTGTTTTTAAAGCCTTGTGATAAACACAACTACAAAAACTAAAAGAAGAAACCTTTGCGTAAACATTTATTTAACTTAATAAATTGAGCAGGTTAATGAGGGCCATTGTTACCAATTATTTAAATAATATTTATTATATAATATAAATGCATATAAAAAAATGCTTTTTAGAATTTACATATTTTGCAAATAAAACAAAACCTAGGTAAAGCCATAAGCCATTTGAAAAGTCTATAAGAAATTGATTGCATACAGCTTGGAGCAGAAATTATATAATATACCTTTTCTATAAGCCCATCTTCTCAAACAACTTTAAGCACTTCAAACAGATTACAATTGCAGTTGTACCAACTTAAGTGCATTTATTCTCATTTGTACACTGAACAGCACTGAGAAACTTACACACATACAAATATTTGTAACCATAAAACAACAGCTTGCAAATTACAGTTTACAGCTAATTAAACACAAATATGTAAATTATTTTAATTAAATAATTTATGAAAGTAACAGATAAAATATGCTATACAGTTCCTGTCAGAAGAGCATTGACCTTCATTAAATTCACCATAAAAAAAACTTTTGAAGCGACAACGACTTCATAGAAAATTTCACTTGCCGGTAATCACTGCCTAGTTATCAGGGGTCGGATATAACTGTCAACACATATTTTAATACAAAAATTATGAAGGAATTCTACAGTCTATCTCCACAAAAGACTTTTTTGCCGAAATTGTGAATTCAGTTCGTGTTTCTGGTTGAAAAAAAGGGTCTATTGCTTAAAAAACATAATTAAATGTGTCATTGTATCCGGCAAATATTGTCTTTTGTTTGACATTTGAATGTTAATTGACTAGACTCTCAACATTTTATTGGCTTGCAAAATTTCATGACATCTTAAAAACCCATCGGTAAATACCAATTGATGAACTCACTCACAAAATGGGACTATGAATTGATGTTCATTATATGGCATTTTCACAGTTTCACATTTATTAATATATTTTTATGAATATATTACAAAAATTTATTATTTACACCTCTGATTGTCCTTAAAATATCTAAGATTTTTAAGATACGCTCATTTTGTGAATATTAAATAGAACATGAATCAGTATTGCATGAGATAAAATTCGATATGATTAGTGAAGTCCGATTCATTTTCCAGGAATTAAATAATAACGACAAACACCTGTGTACCAATCCGTCCGGCAACTTTTTCGACCCGCTATGCCAACCCATCAACATATTTTAATTTTATTGATGTTAAAAACCATAAACGCTATTTAATTAAATAATTTTAAATCAAACCAACTTTTCACAAGTCTTTAATTTTAGAGCGCCAGTTGTTTGTATGATAACATTAAAAACTCTTTTAATTTTATATAAGTAATCAGAGTAATAAATTAAATAAAACGATATATAAACTAGAATCTTAGTGTAATTTGATTAGTTACGGAAAATATATTTGGACTGTGTGTGAGTGTTTTTCGATTCAGACAGCTTTTTGAATAATATGATCTTAATTTATATGTACTTCATTTTCAAACTGTTTTTTTTCTTTTAATATGAAATATAAAAAAAAAATAATAATGTGACTAAGTCCTGCTACTGTTAACATTTTCACCAAAAAAAAACATGATAAATGTTTAAAAAAAATTAATCATCTCCAAATATGTATCAGTGATTGCACAGCATTTTGTTAACAATTACTTATTTAGGTTAACCATTGAAAATTTTAATTCATTTTTATTTATTTAATGTATATTTCAATTCATATTGTGAAAACGTTGTTAATTTGAGGTCAAATCCGAGACTAAGCGGTGAGGCAACCGATGCCTACTTTCAAGACCGATGACAACTAATGCGCTGTTTGACATATTTTGAAAAATGGGCTCTTTTATAAAAACTCGACTTTCAACCTATTTTTCCAATGTGAATTATATAGGTATAGTGTGTCGCTAACACTGTTTTGCTATGAACACAAAAATTATTGTATATAGTAAGTTTGGATTAGATTGGAAAGCCGGTTTTTAATGCAAGTAAAAAACAAAATATTATTGCGTATTATCTATATTTAATAAAGGAAAAAGCAACCTAAGAACTTAGATGTTTGACAATCGGTGTTATGGCCATAAGGCTGCGATTTCAATCCCAATTCAAAATAGTAAAAAAAAGTTTTTTTAAGTTAAGTAAATAAAATATTAATATTATTTGTTAATTAAAAATTGCTATTCATATATACAAAAAAAAATACAATAAATAAAAGGAATGAGTGCGGAATAAAAATGTACTTACCAATCTTCAGAATTATTATAAATTTGACAACTATACCTCTGAAATTCGGGATATTATAGGTATTCTCGATTTTTGATGTCGCAGTGGTCACGGCCAAGAAATTTTCTTATCAATCTTAGAACAGTTTTCTTGAAATGTGACTTTGGTAACTACCTATAAAATTGTATAAGATATTCGATTTCACGATATACACATATCGATCTTATAGACTTTTCAGATCTCATAGATTTTTTCGATATTTAAATCAAAGAATATTATTTTGCATTACCGATATATTTGTTTCTTTTCTTTATTTTTTGACCAACCAATATATTTTGCCAAATATAATTTTACGTCATTATGGGAACGCTGCAAATTTACTTAAATTTTTCAAACTGCAATAAAAATATATATTTAAGCTATATAAACAATTATCAGATGGTTGAAAAGTTCCTCAGAAAACAGAAATAATGCTGGTTGTATGCTTACATTAAAATTAACTTAGTAGATTTAAATTAGTTAATTTGGTGACGATCCTAAAAGTATGTTTAAGGTCTGTTAAATTCATTTGAAAATGGTAAATAAATCTAGAAACTAACTTTACATAAAAACTTGGAGACAGTTTTTCTTTTGTGAGATTTCACATAAATTAAACACTTTTTAATAATTTAGTTTCCAATAATATTTATATTCAATTATTATTATTTAACAACTCGGCCAATAAGCATGCCATACTTGCGATTTATAATACAAATATTTTATGTTTAAAGAACGCCCAACAACGGGCGGGGTCAATAAAGATATAAAGATATTTTGGTGAACGGAAAAGAGTTTCAAACAAAAACTATATTTGTGGCTGATTGCTTTTATCGGACACAAATGAAAAATATGCCCGATGTTGATAATGTTTTATCGCTTACTATAAATTAAAAATTGAAAGTTTTGCTCAAAAACCCATATCGACTTGGCTGTAAATAAAATTAAAGAAAATTTAACAAACATTTGATTAGGCTTATGCATGAAAAACCTCGTTTTAAAAATTCTATTGACTTTTCATGATGTGCGAAATGAGTGCCAATGACTAGAATATAAATCGACAAATAATGGGTTTTACGCTATTGGCGCTCTGAAGATCGCCAAAGAGGAATTGCGCTGATTGACT